AGATGCATATTTGGAAGAAATCTACTGAAAGGTACCAAATGAAGCCACAGGAAGAGAAACTTTACCCCAGGAGAAACTAAAGAGAGAAAAAATAAAAAAGTTTATTAGAATTACAGCCTGAAATCCACAGCTCTGCTGGAGGACAGTCACAGAGAGTAAGGGGACAGTCACAAACAGCAAGGGAACATAGAGCCCAACAATCACCTCATCTTCTTCAACTAAGGCCTCTCTGTACATTTAGGTCTACATGCCAGTGGCTTTTAAAACAATGTTGAAAATGGAACCTAGTTTCCAGGGGGAAGAACTTTGATAAAGGAATAAGTTCTCAGAGAAACTGTGGAAGGGTACAGAAACTTAGAGAACACTTCAGGAAGCAGGTGGTCAATAATAGAGCCATGTGATAAAGGAAGATGAGGACTAAAACCAGGTGACTGAAGTTGGCAATTCCAGGGTCATCCACAATCTCTGAGAGAGCTGGACAAATGTTAAGGAATAAAGTCAGTCTGCACAAGTAAGTGGGGGGGGGGGCAGGGGGGTTGGAGCCAGAGGGAAACTGAGGACAGACAGCAAGTCATGTTATTTTAGAGAAGACAAGAGTTAGAAGAGATAAAAAAGCAAAAGAAAGGTTATTTTCAGGTAACAGGTCATGGAGTAAGCCAAGGAACTAAGGGAAATAGGAGATTAAAGTCTCAAGAGGCATAAAAGAGCAAGGGAACGAGACAGGACCCATTGGAGCTGGGCCCCAGGTAGAGAGGCACAGCTTCCAGGAGGGAGAATTGCTCTTGATACTAAAATTAGCCCCCCACCCCCCTCACTTTTTTTTAAACGGATGAAGAAATCAAGGCCCAGGGAGGCTAAGTGTCTTGTTTAAGATCTCATCAACTCAAAAGCTTCTGCTTTTTCTTTGTACCCTTTTTTCTTTCTAGAAATGGGAACAGGTAATGTATATGGTCTGAAAGAGCTCAACTTTCTCTACCAAGAAAGAAAACAAACAAAAAAGAACTAAAGGTAGTAAAAGAACCACAAAACCAGAGCACACATGTGTAGTGTTCTACATATCCAGATACGCCAAGGAGGCCTTAGGCCAGTTTGGTGGCCAGTGGCTGACACTTGTTATACACTGGGCACCATTTCTAAGAGTTAGCTCTGTCTCTCCCAATTTCACCTCTGAATTGCAATTTCAAAACTGAGATTCTCACTTTGGACCCTTATAATGGTAGTTGCTGACACAGAAGAGATGAAGGAGAGCTCCTCTGTGAATGACAGTGAACCAGTGAGCGCGTGAACCAAACGTTCCGAACCTCGGATACAGCCTGCTCCCGGACTAGGCAGGAAAGTATCCCAGAAAGAGCAAAGAAATGAAAGGAAACCAAATGGGTTTTTGTTCCCTTCTCCATCTAAATGAAAAATGTGAAGAGCAAAGAGTGTCTCCTCCCTCCTTGTATCTGTCAGCACATTTCCAGGAGGCCTGGCCACGTCGCGCGCGGCTGGCTGGGGAGCAGAGACTGACACAGCACACGGGTGCGCAGTGGGCCCGCCTGGGTGGTCTGCTGCTATCCCTTTGATTAAACTCCAGGCTGGGAGAGCTGGAGCTGCTCCTAATGATAGCTGGGTCCTGAAATCTCACACTCGCCAGCACAGACAGGGCCAGGGCTCCCTCGGACGCCCTGCCTCCCACTCCTCACCGCAAGGCTGGGCTAATTCGCCACATTCTTCTGCGCTCTAACAGCATGAACCACAAGGGGCCACGGCTGCTGGAGCTCTGAGAGCTGCCCTCTCTCTCCGCATGGAGTGAGATAGAGATAGGGAGACCTCACACCGAAGCCATGCTCCAGCACCCCTACATGGCCCCCACAGGCACAGATGCTTCGAGAAAACACTGCTCTCAGGAATAAACACATAGGTTGCCAAAAGATCCCGTCCCACAAGATAGCCAGCCTCTCACATGCCAAGGGAAAAGATTAAATCTGAATTGCTCTCTGCTCAGATTTCTTAAGATATCTATTGAATAATAATATGTTGGGAACATATACCTCGTCATATTTCAAATGTATGTATGCTTGCATTAACACTTCTTAAGTAGCCACTGCTCATGTGGCAGGGAAAGTTTGATATTCTTTTGTATTTATTCTAGGCTTTATTAACAATTTTTAGGGTTGTCAGAGTACTCTTTGCCTGTGGTCTCCAGCTTCACCAGAGCACAGGGAGGGAAAAAAGGTAACACTGCCTCATCCCCAGCCCACCTCCTCCCAAGTCCCTTGAATGATCCGGCTAAAGGGCAAGCAGCTGTCTCTTGGTGGTTCCCGCATCATCAAAGAGAAGAAGGCCAAGCTCCTTCAAGGGGCCTCTGAAGCGCCCTGAGTCAGCCCTTGCCTTTTGGGCACTTCAATCCCACTACCCCTGCTGACTCCCCAGTCTCCTCGACATCACTAAACACAGGCATGCTGGTTTTACTCTGGAAACTGCTCTTTCTCTTCTTCTGCTACCTATTTGCTTACCTTTTAAGGTTCAGCTGAAGTATTACAAAGGCTACCTGGCCTTCTTCCCACTCCCACACAAGCTGGGTCAGGAATCCCTCTTGGTGGCTTTGTTGTTGTCTGGGAGCACCTGTCACGCACGTTCATCTGCTTCCGTGGCTGCACCCTAATGACACTGAGTTATCCCACACCGAGGACCATCCTTATGGCTTAGTCCAAAGGTTGGAACATTCTTAAGAGCTAAGTTAAAATGCTTCTTAATAAATAAATGAAACATGTGGAATAAAGTTTTATGGGAAATGCCACTAAATGCTTTAATAAGAAGTTGAAATTACAAGCAAAATAAAGTAATTTTGTAAAAATATCCAATGATTTCAATTTCTATACCCATCTCCCAAAACAGAACAAATAATTTAAAATCAGCTTTCCTTATCTAGGAGGGGAAGATCATAACTCCTTGCCTAGAAAATCAACTGAAGGGCCGAGTTCAGGGACTATAACTAAAGCAATGCTCAGAGAAAAATTCATAGCTTTCAATATGTAAGCACCCAATTCAAGAAATAGGGGAGAAATAATAAAGAAATAAAGCACAAAGAATAAATTAAACCAAAGAATAAAATAAAGAAATAAGGAAAGCAGAAATAAAGAATTAGTAAAGATAAAACAAGAAAAAATTAATTGGAATAGAATGAATAAAAATATCCAGAATTAGTTCTGTGAAAAAAGGAGAGGGAGGGAAGGGTAGCCATTAAACCTATCAGAAAAATGAAAAAAGAAAAGAAAGCACAAACACAAAGTGGGAATTGAAAATAAGGAAAAGAAGAGGTAAAAGGAAATCAAAAGACTTTGAAGTGATTTCTGGAGACCGTTCTCAGATGGCAAGTGCAGAGAGGCCAGAGCTCCGAGCCTTCTGTTTGGAGCCAGGAAAGGTGTCACTCACCTCCATGAGCAAGAGACTAAGGAAACTTTCTTCGAAACACAGACAAAGGGAAAGGAACAAAGTATACCAGAGCCTTTTCACACTACTGTTATGGGTTCTTAACTACTTACCAGAAAAGGAACAATAACAGACAGAATTTCCCAAATTCCAAATTAAGAAATTGCTTTCTCTAAAGAAAAGGGACCAAATAACATACAATTGAGCTTTTCAATAACAAAGTTCATTTCATCCAACAACTTCCTCCTTTCAAAACAAATGAGAAACCATTTATTGCCGAAACCCTTTATGGTTTAAATAACAAAGTTTCCCAAGCATATGGCATTTAGACTTCAAGAAGTTTTTACACACTACCCTCACGACCCTGTGGTGTTTTCCCCACATCAACAAATGAAGATCCTGCGGTTGACAGAAGCTGAGTGAACTGCCCAACGTCACACAGCAAGTCAACGGCAGAACCCAAGTCTGCAGACAGTTAATCCAACTCTCTTTTCAAACTGTCCACCCTGCTTATTACACACTGCAGCACCTCTCCGCCTGCACTGGTCACCCTATTACCAAGACTCAGAAAGTTAAGACTGACATCTAATGGCAGATTCAGATTCCTACGAATAGGATACATGTGGACTTTAAGTTCCCTGGCACTGAAATTCCTTATGGATGAGAAAAACAGGCTCAAGGGGGATGACGTCCCACTAAGGACACATAAACCTTACACTCCCACAGGATAAGGCTCTTATCATTCTGCAGGCTTTGCAGTATAGCAAATGATAGGAACTAAAAATATGTTAAGCACTAAAACCGGCTATCTATATTTTCTTACAATCATCCCAAAGAAAGTCTCTTAATGTCTGGTGCTTCTAGCTATTTATTTACAAACTGAAAATACATTGCCGTCAGTGACCCAATGATAAAAGTATAGCAGATCAGAGGCCTTTACCCTTTCTCGTAGCCATTTCACATTTCAAAATTCCTTCTCCTTCTACCATGGTTGTGACGGTGTATTTCCTCGTCCCCTCATTCTAGCACTGAAACCCAGAGATTCACCTCCCATCGAGTTTCAACACTGTCCTGGGAAGTTCCTTTGCTTCCTACTCCACACTGGGCCTCCCCTCTAGTCCCTTCAAACTTCTAGGGATTTGAAAAAGAAAATAATTATTGCCTCACACAATTGGGATGAGGCTGAAGTAAATGAAGATGAGCAGAGTGGTCCTAAAGTTTTCACAGAGAACCGGGAGAGCAGGGTGGTGCCTTCTGTGGACAGGCTTGTGAAAGCATCATCAGCCATTCTGCTAGAAAGACTAATAATTTTACAAAAGTTATTTTAAAAAATTCTTTAACATTCTATTTATAGCTGAACTTATTCAAATCTGTCTATCCTGAAAATAGGTGCACCAGAGCCAGCAGCAGACATCAATGCCTGCAAGAGAAAGTCACTTCCTTTACATTTAAGGAATTGGTTTTAGCTTGTTACCAACCAATACTCATTCAAGAGGCACAGGGAGTAAAGTCAGGGAAGGACCGGCTACCCTGTTGATCCCATCTTTGGGTATGAAGAGCTCTTTGGCACTCCAGACTGTCCCTACCTGTTGTGTGAGGAGACTGATGTGGCTGGCTGGAGAATACTGCCTTGCTGCCTGCTTTTCAGCAAGTCGCTGAAGTTCAGCTGAAACCATACTTTGGCTGTACCGTTTGCCATATGAAGAACCATCTTCTCCCTCTTTCTGCATTTTGGCTACTCCTGAATGATGCTTGTTTGGATGGCATGAACCTGCTGAAAAGAAAAAAAAAAAAAAAAAAAAAAAAAATTCACTGGCTTAGGAAAAAGCCCTGAAAAAAATTTGGATGATGACAGGGCGACATCAGGCCAAGAGAAACTTTACTGACCCCAAGGATCTTTAGCAATAAGGAGCAATAAACTATCCTTAAATGATCATAAAAATAAATACAAATCCTTACTATACCCTGGAAGTCCTTCCTATAGCCAGCCTTCCACACATTATGAAAACTTCACAAAGAAGAATTTTCATCCTAACTAGTGTAGAAGACCATTCCTAGAATTTACTGAGCTTAAAAAATATACTGGGCTGCAGGCCTAGCTCAGTGGTCAAGAGCCTGCCTCACATGCACAAGGGCCTCCGTTCCATCCCACCCACCACAGGAAAAGTCTTTGAAACTCACAACTCTTTGCTTTGTTTTTTTGTTATGTAACTACACTCGTCAGTAGTCTATGGCATCCACAGTCAAATCATCCACAATATTTCTCAAAAAGCTCAAAGGGAATGGGGATGAAAGAAAAACTGAGTGTACTTAGAAAAATAGCAATGATTGCACATTCTCAAATGACTGTCCCTTTGGACTTAAACTTTCTTCTTTAAACTATTTTATCAGAATTCTATTATTCTGACCACTGAAATTCTGGCAAAAATAAAATAATATAAAAATCAAGGTTCATGCTCCATTGATTATAAAACACATTTTATTGAAAAAAATTAAAAACCCAGAAAAGTAGGAACACCCTATTTTTCCTCCTGTCCAGTTATTCATTTGTTCATTTCATTCATCCATCCAATCATTTCATTTCTGTGGTACTGGGGTGGAACTGAAACTGATATTTTATCTGCTGTCTGGTATCTCATTTTGCAAATACACACAACTTACATCTCTATTCCACTACCCAGGATTTCTTGTCACTGTGAGCTGTTATAACCATGCAGCCAAACACACTCTATGTACACCTTCTGGTGTACATGCACAAGAGATTCTCTTGTGGCCAGGCCTACAGTGACTGTGAAGTCACAGTATAGGTGAGTTGTGAGTTTTCAAATTCACGTTATGACACTAGAATGGTATTTTTTAGATTCCCTTCAACACAAAGTAATTCCTGCTGATTCATATACTCTTCAACACTCAGTTTTGTCAAACATCTTTAATTCTTTCTTCTCTAAGAAGATATAAATGTCACTGTAGTCTTCATTTACATTTTCTGATTTGTAATGATGTTGAGCACGCTTCTTCTTTTCTGAGAGCCGTTACCAGTTTTCCACTGAGTTGTCTTTTTCTTACTGACTTACTGGAGTAGTGCTTTTGTTTCTGCTATTGCTCCACACCACAGATCTTAAAGATGGTCTCTTTTATATTATTCTAGAAGTTTTAAATTTTGCATGCATGCATGCATACATGCTATGAGGCAGGGATCTAATTTCACTTTACCCACCTTCATTTATTGAGTAATCCCTCCTTTTCCACGGATCTACAGTGCATGTCTATCATAGATCAAAGTTCCATTTATCTGTATGATTGTTCCTAACTTTCCATTTTGTTCCATCGGTCATCTTGTCTATTCTTTTGTCAATACCACAGTCTTAAACATTATATCTTTATATTAGATCTTAATACAGTATTCCTCTACCTCAATTATCTTCTTCAAGGAGTTCTCACTATTCTTGGTCTTCCTGCCTTTCTATTATCATTTTAGAATAGGCTTATCAAGTTCAACCATAAGCTTGAGATTTTGATTAGAATTGTATTGAATTCAAAGATCAACTGGTATTGAGTCTTCCCATGTATGTACATGGTATATATATTTTATTTTTGAGAGAGAGAGAGAGAGAATTTTAATATATTTTCTTTTTTTAGTTTTCGGCGGACACATCTTTCTTTGTATGTGGTGCTGAGGATCGAACCCGGGCCGCACGCATGCCAGGCGAATGCGCTACCGCTTGAGCCACACCCCCAGCCCTACATGGTATATTTTATCCACTGATTTAATTTTCTCTGATGTCATTCAACAAAGTCTTACAAAATTTCTTTCTTTTTTAAAAATATTTTTTAGTTGTAGATGGACACAATACCTTTATTTATGTGGTGCTGGGAATTGAACCAAGTGCCTCACATGTGCCAGGCAAGCGCTCTACCACTAAGCCACAACCCCAGTCCACAAAATTTCTTTTAAAAGTCTTTTCCAGAGTGGAGCATGGTGGTGCACACCTGAAATCTCAGCTACTAGGGAGGCTGAGGCAGGAGGATCATAAGTTCAGGATTATCCTGGGAAAGTTAGTGGGATCCTATCTTGAACAAAAAATTTAAAAAGGGCTGAGGATGTGGCTCAGTAATAGAATGTTTGTTTGCCTAGTATGGAGGCCTTGGGCCCAATCCCTAGTACTGCCAAAATGACGGGGGGGGGGGGGACCCAAAACCCAACCACTAAAAGTCTTTTCTAAAATATTCCCTAGATAGTGTTTTTTGTTTGTTTGTTTTTGTTTAAATAAATAATGTTTTTTTTTTGTTGCTATTATTTATTTTTGCAGTGTTGGGGATTAAACCCAGGGTCTTGTACATGCCAGGCAAGCATTCTATCACTGAACTACATTCCCAGGCTTTAAGTAATGTTTTTAAAAAACATTTTTTTGTTGTTGTTATTGGTGGTGATGTGATGTATTTAATGCCACTGAAAGACTTTGATTTGCAGTACTGGGGATTGAATCCAGGGGCACTTTATCACTGTGCCACATCCCAGCCTTTTTGTTTTGAGACAGGGTCTTGTTAAGTTGCTGAGGCTGGCCTTGAATTTGGAATCTTTCTGCCTCAGCCTCCTAAGCTGCTGAAATTACAGGTGAATGTCACCATGCTTGGCTGGAAAAACTTTTAAAGACAGTTAAAATGGTGAATTTTATGTTATATATATTTTATCATAATGAAAAAAAAATGTTTTCTAATACTCTGTGGCTACTAATTTTGAAAACTATTGACTTCTAGTTTTGATCTTGCTCAAAACTTAAAGCTGACAGTCTTCTAACAGGTTAAATCCCACCCACTTGTTCATTTGATTCTGATGTATTTGGGCTCAGTTATCAAGGTTTAAATAGCATTTCTCTTGTTTTTCCTACATTTCTTGCTTATATACTCTCAGGGGTAGTTTTTTTCCTTCAATTAATTTTCTTTCTCCCCATAGGTTTAAGATTTACATAGTTTCATTTTTTTTAGTGGTAACCATTGAATTTTGACACTATATATTTAACTTTTAAATAATATCTTATTCCCCTTCCTAAACTATTTAATTACTACAGAAAAATTTATCTTTAATCATTTACAGGCTATTGTTATTTAATGTATATTTCTATTTACATGTTGTCTATTGTTCTTTAACTATTCAAAATACATTCTCTGACAACAGCAAAAATATGCTGAAAGCCAATTATAAAATGCAAAGAATTCCAACTACCTAAAGATTAAACTATATGCTTTAAAATAATCCATGGGTCAAATATGAAGTCACAACAGACATAAGGAAATAATTTTGATCTTCCTCTGTTCCCTATTCACTCTTGGAAAAAATGGAAAAGAAAGGTTTTAAAGTTTTTATAATGACACAGAGAACTGGAGACACTAATCTTATTGAATTTCTCACATGGGGGAAAAAGTTCAAATAAGAACATTATTGATTACTATTATTAATGATTTTAGAAAACAAAATCATAAGAACAACAATCACCTGAAATCAGCAAAGATACACACATGTATATATCATTATTTGTAACTTACTCAAGTTTATGATTCAAGCTCCATATTACAATATCTTATTCATTTTAAATCCGGTATTGATTAACAAATATGGATTAGTTATTTATAAAACAAGGCTTAGCTATAAATTTACCTTAACATGTTTATTACTAAAGTGTTTAAAAACTTGACCAATGTTAAGATACTCCCCAAACTGATCTACAGATTCAATGTCATCTTTATCGAAATCCCATTAGTCTTTTTTGGCAGAATTTGACAAGCTAATTCTGTAATTTATATGAAAATGCAAGAAATTCAGAACAGATTAAGCCACTTTAACAATGATGAATAAAACTAGAGGATGATTTTAAAACATCTTGTAATGCTACAGTAAGAAAATGTGCCGCTGGCATAGACAGAAATTGAGACTCCAAAATAAATCTTCATTTGATTTATTTGATGAGTGTGCCAAGAAAATCCAATGGGAGAAACAATCAATACTCGATGGTGCTAAAACAACTGCATATGCAAATGCGAAAGAATGAAGCTGGATCCCCATATGTCAAACCATACATAAAAATTAACTAAAGATGGATAAAAGCTCTAAATGTATGAGTCTAACCTATAAAACTCTTAGAAAAAAATACAAAGAAATCTTTGTGACCTTGGGTTAGAAGATACCTTTTCAGATATGACAACAAAAACACAACTGAAAGGAAACAAAACAAAACAAAACAAAGCAAAATATTTGACTTCCTCCAAACTTAAAATGTTTGTGCTTCAAGAAAGCAAAAAGACAACTAACAGATCGGGTTAAATAATATTTCTAAATCATTTACCTGATAAAGGACTTGTATACAGAATACATAAAGAACACTTATGACTCAACAAAAGGACGCACATCTCAACTTAAAAATGGGCAAAGACATTTCTCCCAAGAAGATTTACAAATAGCCAAAAAGCATATGAAAAGATGCTTAAAACATCAGCAATGAGGGAAATGGAAATCATAACAAGCCCCCCAACACACACACAAAGAGATGGGTGAAATTAAAAAGACATTAAATGTCAGCAAAGATATAGAGAGGGGGAAACTTGACTTAGAACTCCTCATACATTGGGAGTAGTAAAATGGTACAGACACTGAAAAAGAGTTCGTTAGTTCCTCAAAAAGAGGAACCATAAAGTTATTATATGACTCACCAATTCCATTCTAGCTATATAACCAAGATTATAAAAACATGTATCTGCATAAAAATGTATACACGACTGTTACTCATAATGGCCAAAAAGTGGGAAAAAAAAAAAGAGAAAATCAAATGCACATCAAGTGACAAATGGATAAGCAAAATGTATTATATCCATACAATGGAATATTATTCAGCTATAAAAAGGAATGAAGCGCAATACATACTATAACACAGAGAAAGTTTGAAAGCATGACAAGTGAAAAGAAACCAATGACAAAGACTACCTATAGCATGATTCCACTTATCTGAATTGTCCAGAACAGACAAATCTGTAGACACAGAAAGTAGATCAGTGGCTGCTAGGGGCTGGCAGAAGGAGGAAGTAGGTAGTGACTGCTAATAGGTATGAAGTTTCTTCTAGGGATGATGAAAATGCTTGAAAATTAGAAAATGGTGTCATTGCATTACTCTGTGAATATGATAAAAAAACCACTGAGTTGTACACTTTTTCAAAAGGGCAAATTTTGTAAATATGAATTGTATCTCAATAAAGTTATTTAAAAATGAGGGGGCTGGGGATGTAGCTCAGTGGTAGTGTTTCCTGGTATGCAAGAGGTCCTGGATTTGATTAAAAAAAAAAAAATAGGAGGGGGAAACTTGACTGATAAGCTGGGTCTACTTCATTGACGCTACAAACCAAAGAATTCTTAAAAGAGGGTATTTATTTGGTTCATTCCTGTCTTTAAATGCATTGAAAAAAAAGCGTTAATTTGTCTGATGTCAGGAATAACTACCTGAATCAAAAAAAAAAAAAAAAAAAAAAACGCATATAGCACATTCACAGGTCTAAGATTATCTGTGTGGGAAACTTCTGGACTGGACTTGACTTATCTCTTTTTCGGCACTACCTAAAAGAAGTCCTGTTTCATTTTTCTATCAGTGACTGAATGCTAGTGGACAAAATGCAAGACTTTTCTTTAGTCACAGCACAACAATTTAGCGTGTGTCCCTTTACCTTTCAAGAAAAGGCAAAGGGAAGAGACGGCATTCTTTCTCCATGGGGGCTGGGGACCTGGCATTGTAGGCTGCCTTTCATTTTCTCACTCACCTGCCTTTGCTGAGGAGGGACGAGACAGTTTCTGGCTATAGATGTGTGCAGCGCTTTGGAAAGAGGAAAAGGGGCCAATGGTGTAACTGCCTGATCGACAGCGTGGCAGGCCAGCGGGGCTTGGTGTGTTCTGTGTCCCAGGATGTATGGAGGAAGAAGCATTGTCAGGGACTGGGTTCAGTAAAATTGCTGGCTGATGAGGTATAGTGGGGATGGCTTGAGGAATGTGAGATAAAGCAGAATGGTGGCCAGGCCCTGGCGAGAGGGCAGAGGTTGTCATAATAGATGACAGATGGGTGTTGGGAATTTTCTGCAGAAGAGTAGCAGCAGGACCAGAGAAAGAAGTAGAAGTACAATTGGTATAGACTAATTTAGCCTCTTTTTCTGCTGAAGTGGTAAATCCTATTAAAACAAAAACAAACAGAACAAAACAGATCATTTTAGGAAAAAATGAACATATCATCTCTATAAAACATAAACATTTTCAAAACATCAGAATAATCTTAGCATGAAACAGAAACCATGAAAAATACAGACATTAATGGATTTTGCCTACCAGAGACAACCTAGCAAGAGACATTTTAGTTTATTTTTGGTCCTTCCTAAAAACTGGAGTTGGGAATACCCCCACAAAACAGAGTAGGCATGTTTTACAAACATTAGGACAGCAGGACAAAGCTCCTACAAGCAATGGCTAATTCCTCTCTCTCTTCACCTTTCTAGGAGAAAACAAAGTGCTTAGAATTCTAAAGAAAATGAAAAAAAATTCCTGGGAAGAAAAACAGGTTAAGTGTATTTGAGAGAAAAATTCTAGGGGAAAAGGAAGAACAAAGGAAAGGACTTCTCAGGGGTAATTCTCATGCTTTAGAAGCATTTAATATTTGAAGACTCTTTCTTTTAGAAATTTATCAGAGCAAATCTATATAGGTTTGAAATCACTCACGAGATAATTTATCAGAGTGAATTTCTGTTGCCTGTTGCTGTTTGGGTTGCTTTATTTTCACTTCTTGTATTGTCTCAGGGTGATCTGAAAGAAGAAATAGAAAAAATACTGAACTTAGGCTCTCTTACTAATCCATTATAACAAAATTTTGTTTCCAAAAATGTAACACAAGTACTGATCCATACTGTTAGACACTGTACATCAAGCCACACTTTTCCAAAGATGGACTCCCCGAGTGCTGCTGAGTGGGTAACCAATGCAATGATCCCCAGATATTGCCAACCCCAGTTCTGCCTCACTGAACCAGGGAAAGATACTTAAATCCAGAGCAGCCATCCATGGGCTGCCAACAAGTAGGACATGCCCAGAAAAGAAAATAAGTAAGGGCAGTCAGATGCCTCTGTCAGGAATTTAGATGAGGGTTATAAGAGACCAATTTGGTTGGTAGTGCCAAAGAAGCCAAGAGATCACAGTATGTATGGAGTGGGGCAGCTACCATGAAACACAAAGAATAGCCCCATTATGTGCTGGCATACTACCAAGAGAATACAATGACTCTATATTTTAAGGTCAATGCCTCAATTTTATTTAAGATAGGTTGATCAGTAAACTGAATACCAAAATCACTCATGTTACCACTGGAACAAATTAGTTTTTCTCTACTACAGAATTTTGAAACAGAACAGAGCTAATAATATACTTGGGGAAATATTCAAAATTTTTGTCAACAGTGAAGTTCAGGGGCTGGGGCTATAGCTCAGTGATAGAGCGCCTGCCTCCCACGTGTGAGGCACTGGGTTCGATTCTCAGCACCACATAAAAATAAATAAATAAAGATATTTTTTAAAAAAAGAGTGAAGCTCATACAAAGATTTAAGCTGGGACATGGTACATCCCTGTAATTCCAGTTACTCTGGGAGGCAAAGGCAGAAGGATTGCAAGTTTCAGACCAGTCTGGGCAACTTAATGAGACCCTGTCTCAAAATAAAATTTACAAAAGGCTGAGGATGTGACTCAGTGGTACAGTGCTTGCCTAGCATGCACAAAGGCCCTAGGTTCAATCTCACTACCACAAAAATATACAAATAAACTAACTTTCAGAATGAAAAGATAAAGACTTATGAATTCAGTCCTCTCTAATACCACCAGTGATGGTAATTCTGTCACTATTCTTGTTTGCAATGAGTCTGGATACCACACTATCAAATGTTATTTTCTTTCTTTTGGGTACTGGGAATTGAACGCAGGAGCACTTGGTCACTGAGCCACATTCTCAGCCCTATATACAAAATAGTATCACCTTTGCTGAAGCTGGATTTGAACTTGTGATCCTCCTGCCTCAGCCTCCTGAGTCATTACGATTACAGGCATGGACCACGGCACCAGGCTCAAATGTTATTTTCTTGACTGAGGCCTTCCTCCTGTACCTCTAGACATTCTTAACAGGTACAGACAGGTATAGACGGTCTTTGTAAACACAGTCATTAATAAATGAACCTTAGAATCTCAAATGACCCATCTGTACACGTGGGTGCTGCCAGGCCACGCTGTGAGGGCTGCCCCATTACTGCCAGGGGAGGGGTCAGTGCCCATGCGGGCCCCACCTCCTCAGGGGACCTTATTATGAGCATTCCTTGGCCTTCCTTCCACAACACTGTTGTTATAGGAGCTTTTCAGAGCTCTCATCAACTTTCTGGTAGCTTGTCACTGACCTCCATTCACCAGACAATAAACTTTATAAAGTCAAGGACTGTGATGGTTCTGCTGGCAACTACCAAAGTGCCTAACACATAACACTTGCTCAGTAAAAATGTACACACAAGGAATGAATCAACAGACGAATATGAAATTGGGAAAGCTCAAAGAGGCTGTGCTCAGAAGGGCTGCTAGTGATATGATAATTCAATTATGCAGTGAGTTAAAAAGGCTTTTCTGGATTAGCTTATGAACCAATCAGCTTTTAAAACACAGGGTTGAAGATGTAATTCAGTAATAAAGGGCTTGCCTACCACAAGTAAATAACCAACCAATCAAAAGGAAAAACCCACTAACATTGTTTCTTTGGGAAAATTCATTTCACAATTTTTTTGGGAGGGGTGGTGGTATGATGGTTGACCTCATAGGAGCTCTACCACTGAGCTACATCCCCAGTCCTTTTTATTTTTTTGAGACAGACATGGGCTGAATTGCCCATGCTGGCCTTGAACTTGTAGCTGGTATTACCATTCCCAGCTTCATTCCACGTCGAAAATGACCAACTTTCCTGGCTACTTCCACACCAGATTATGATAGCCGTAAGAGCAGGGAGGAAGTGTCCAATTTGCATCTGGTACTTAAAACACTATCAAAATTAGTATGTTTGTGTTCATATGCCTTATACTTCCACCTAGGTTTAAAAGAATCTTACCTTTAAAGCACAGAGCATTGTTTATCACAGAATGAAACCGCATGTTTTGATCATGATGATGTGAGCAAGAGAGTTGGTTCACATTTGATTTTAAAATCCCAATCACAGAGTACCTCAGCAGGGAGAACTTTTAGAAGCATGTGGGAAAATTCTGAGTTATCAATGCCTGAGGGAAAGCTAATGGCATTTGGGGTTGGGACCGATGACATCAGACATCTCACCAGGTACAGAACAGCCCCACACAACAAAAAATTCTCCTAACCCAAATGCCAGTGGTGTTGAGGGGGTCTCACTTGACAAGAATGAGAAACAAGCCTTAGGAGAGGCAAAGAGTGGACACTCAGGGCACAAACTTGGGAGTCAGGCAGACAGGGGTCTAAGTCCTGTCTCTGTGGTGAAGTTTTACATGGTTCTTTTAGCTCATTTTCTTATGCATCAAGAAGTTTAAAAACAAGACCTACTCCATGTAGTTTTAGGAAGTAAAAAATAAGACCATGTCCAACAGATTGTAAGATAAGTATTCACTAAATGTTAGCTAGCTATTCTTAGCATTTCCTGAAAAGCTCTCTGCTATTAATTATCATGAAAGAAACAAAAAACCCAGACCATGCCCGTCTTCTGCTCTGAGGACAGGAAGTGCTGTAGCCCATCTCCCGCTCCAGCCCTGTGCTGCAGTTTCACCCCTGGATGCTCAGCCAGCCCATCATTCTCTCCGCTCCCCTGCACCTCCACTTTTTCACCTATTCTCATTTTTCATTCAACAACCAGCACACTTACCACCTTTTGCCCCACTATCTGAATAACCGCTGCTGTTCTTAGAAGTTTTAGTGTGGGTACCCAGGAAGACACTTGCAGACTTGTTTTTTTGGGTATAAAAAGTCAATACCTCCTCCAATTCAGCCTCACTGAAATGAGAAAAAGTTTGGTCAGCACAGGAAACTGTTCTGAAAAATCTTTCCAGTAGATTTTATTATGGAAACAGAATAAACTGGAGAAGGAAAAACAAAAAGCACAAGCTGAAAATATGTCACTAATAGATGGTTAAAAAACGAAGTATAAATGAAGCCAATCTAAAAAATATAAAGTATGGTAAGGTTTTATTCATCCCACATGGAATTTTCTAGATCTGTACTATCTACAGTGGCAACCACTAGTCATATGGGACATTTAAATTTAATTAAAATTTGACAAATAAAGATTTTTTTCTGAATTACACTAGTCACACTTCAAGTGGTCAGAAGTCACCACGGAAAGGTTTACTAGACAACCATGCTCTGGGTCAGGAGTCACCAAACTTTAGACTATGGGCCACCAGTGAATAAGTTTATATATTTATACATATAAATAAAACACATATATATGTATATATGTATTTAAAAGAATATGAGAAAAATACTATTCATATCTATGGAGTCTGAAACATTCATTATCTGGCCTTTTGGGTTGCCTATCCAATTTCTAGATAACTGATGCATCTTCACTGAAGGAGCTACTTATCATTTTAATTGCCTATGTCAGAATTAAGGAGGACCCACCAGTGTGACCACAGTAGGACTCTCTAACCATCTGTATGATGCAGGAGACTCAAATACATGGTCTCTAAGGTCACTTAGAATTGCTAAACTTATATGAACATCCATAAAATGGAAATTATTATAAGGAAACATGAGGCCTATCCAGTCAAGATATACATGCATGAATTTGGTAACTTCTGTAGCAGCTTCTGGATGGCCTTTTTCTTTTCTTTTTCCTGAAAACTATGTTCTATAGCTGGTCCTCAAATAAGCAAAGCATGCTTGCATTATTACAAAGGACCTACATTCCAATAAGGACACCAATAAGGACATAGGAAAACATTTCTATGAATCTCAGCATAAACCCCAAGGTTTCCATAGTAGCCTGATGACCACAAGGTAAGTACTTCAAGTGACTACCAAGAGCTAAAACGGGCAGCAAACAGTGTAAAATACACTGCCTTTGTCTGGCAGTGTATTTTATTTGGCCCTTCACAAAATAGGCAAAGGATATAGTTGGTTAAACAACAAGCTGCACCATTCCTGTCTTATCCTCTGCTCCCTGGCATCTGAATTTATCAGTCCTGACAAAGGTATCCACAAACTAGCAAAAACTCAATAAAAGAAGAACTGACAATACCACATATTTTCCAGTAATCAATGCTCAATCCACAATCAACAGTAAATATAATCTCATTTATTTCCTTTCCAAATCTACATTAGTTAACAGTATATATGATTCATTTTTAATATCCAATAGTTCTGCTAGGGAAATACACATCACTTTTTAAAAGTTTGGATTTTCTTCTCTTTTATATCTTAGGGATTTTTGAAGACCCTGAGGAGGATCCAGAAATGAATCTTTTAGCTTTAAAAGTAGAGCTATTCTCTGGACCTACCTTCTATTTCTGTTTTTATAATGTTGATGTAAAAAAACTGTTTTTTGCTTCATTTCTATACCTGTTTTACCCAAAACCCCAAAACTGCAAAGAAGTAACAAATATTAATTATAGAACGGCCACAAAATGACCTATTTGTCTGCTACGTTTAAGAGCATGGCACGGAGGCTGCACGGAGGCTACACGGAGGCTACAGTGAGGCCTATACAAGATATTACACAAAAGTCATTCTGTGCTGGGGACTGACACGGAGAGAGCTGATTTTCTACTGATTTTTTCTCCGGACTGTGATTTGATAATTGGAGCCTAATTAACGGGGTGTGCAGTTAGTTGCCCTAACCTTGCATTTTTTTAGTCTGCACAACTTTCTAGTTAGAAAAGGTACTCCAGTATGAGCTTTTACAAAATTTAAAACTATGTGCTTTTATTATCTCATCCTTTGGAAATAATGTCAAAGGACAAAATGGCCTGGCTGATTTGTATCAAGATAGACTTGAATACTGAGACTTTCAATTCCTAAAGGTTAATCTTAAGCAGGAAAAACTTGTTCTGTTGTATATAATTTAGGTGTAACTATCACAGAGGTGAAAAACTCTTAATCCACTCAATGTAGGCAAATTTGGCCATCTCCACACATCAGTACATCAGGGACAAAGTCAGACCCAGAAAACACTAAAAGGCTCTAACTTCAAATTTCCAAAAGCTTCTCTCAGTACTTTTAGTGGTATGTACTTTAAAAACTGTCTAGATCTACAGCCCAGACACCCAGAGCAGTGTTTTGATAACTGAAACCATGACAACAGCAATGTAATTGGCTCAGATAGGGAAAGGCTAAGCCTATGAAATTTCTGCTCCTTCTGAGAGTGATTTCATTCATATCTGTGTGTCAGAAACAAGGGAATTTGGGGTATTCAATGAACAGTATGGAAGAAAGAATAAGGGTGGCTTTTATTAATCAAAAGTGTCTTCTACCTTGCTCGTCTGATGAAATCCTGAAAGTTTTCTGTATTCACCCCATCTTCCTCCTCCTCTTCAAGTTTCTTCTTTGATTTCTTTTCAGCCATTTGTTCTGTTTCCTATCCAAGCCCAACCCCACAGAAAAACAACAAGATAAAACTGACTCCTGATAAATGCACACTTCATCATCTAGTTTCATTGCCCTTGGGTTAATTGTTCCTTATAGTAAACACTTTTTATTCTTCCATGTACTTTTGCCACCTATAAACTTGATATATTACTCTTGGTCATTATTTCATGAAATGTTTTGAAATTCCCAAGTAAGAGTTGCTGAATAAATGTAAATTTTTACCATGGTTGTATTTTCTATTTGTAAGGCCTGTTATGAAAAGAGCTTTTGATAGGAACTTAGTAACATCTGTGATCAGACACGTGGCTTTAACAATATTGTGGCATTGCAGAGACACAGTATTTTGTTGCAATTTGGACAGGAAAGATGTCTTGGAAGATTCTCTTACACCAACTTCCAAAATAATGAATTCTCCCTCCCCCACCCCAACTGGTGCTAGGGATCAAACTCAGGGCCTTGTGCATTCCAAAAAAGTGCTCTACCAGTAAGTTAAAACCCCAGCCCTTTCTATTTGAAAAAAGGTCTCACTAAGTGGCATAAGGGCCTTGCTAAATTGCTGAAGCTGGCCTCAAACTTGCGATCCTCATGCTTCAAACTTTGAGGCAACTTGGATTATAGGCATATGCCACCATGCACAGCTCAACTTGAATAAATTCTTTATTCATGCAAGATACAACAGAATTTTCAGTAGAGCTGGAGTAAATTGGGTATATGGGTATGGAGGGTCGACAGTCTTCTATAATTACATGTAACTTTAGAAAACTCATTTACATTTTTTTAGGCCTCAGTTCTTCCTTCTGCAACCTGAACTATATAACCTATACCTTTTTCACTCCCAAGTAATATTTTTAATATGTTCTGAGGCTGTTGGATATAAGACACTTTGCAAAAATTACAATTAAATAGTGTATTTCTTGGGCTTGGTTGTAAAATGTTTTGGAGAAGAAAAGCTAACTCTCTGAAAAAAATATGTCATCATATTAAATTCACAGTTCCAATTCTCTCTCTATAGTCAACTTACCATTGTCTACAGGCCAATAGCAATAATACAGATGCACATATGTCAGAATTCATCTCGGGTATGACAGAGCTCAAAAGGGATGGAACTTCTGATAAGTGTTAACTATGGCCACTGGGTTTTCAGAAATAATAAGTAGCTTTTCAACCCAACCAGGTTAAAGTGTGGGATTCCTCTCCCCCTCACAGCAAGGCAACAGGGTTGATGGGGCCACAGAACAGAAGCTGGACAGAGGTGTACAGCGTGTGACTGATGATGTGTTACAACACAATGCACAAGACCCCCAGACTAATAACTTACCTTGTTGTACACAATGATAAAGTCACCTAATTGGTGGGCGAGGATTCTTCTGCGTTCTAGAAGTGCCAATCGTCGACTAGGTAATACCATCCTCAGTGAATGCTGGAGGTTACTTGATGCTCGTTTAAGGAAACGAACAACCAACTCCTATGAAGTAAAAAATGGGGAAGGAAAAAAGTAGGGCTTGTGTTAATCAACAGAAGACATGCTATGATGGGATTAGACAATAGAGATGTCAGAAGAGGTCTGTTATACATCCTGACGAACAAGATCCAGAGCAAACATGTTAGGTTTAAGAAGGATACATAAAAAAAAAAGAAAAAAAAATAAAAAAAAAAAAAGGATACAGAAGGCAAAACAAAAGACTCTTATTTTCTTCTCTCAATAAGTTAACAATCAGAAAATCAAATGTGCAAAAAGATAGTAGTTGTTAAAGTACATTTATAAATGGTCCTATGATAAACCAAAGGGAAGATCTCACTTCTATTAAGGTGATCAAATGGAGCTATTTTTTTTTTTAAAGAGAGAGGAGAGAGAGGGAGAGAGAGAGAGAGAGAGAGAGAGAGAATTCTTTTAATATTTATTTTTTAGTTATTGGCGGACACAACATCTTTGTTTGTATGTGGTGCTGAGGATCGAACCCGGGCCGCACGCATGCCAGGCGAGCGCGCTACCGCTTGAGCCACATCCCCAGCCCAAATGGAGCTATTGAGGGAAGGCAACATTCAAAGTCAGTCTAGGAGTAGGTGAAATCATCAAAGATGAGAAAGCAGAAAAAGAACATAGTGGCAGAGCGCTTGCCTGGCATGCGTGAGGCACTGGGTTCCATGCTCGGCACCACATAAAAATAAAGGCATTCTGTACATCTACAACTACAAAAAAAATTTTTTTAAAAAGAATAGAAATAGTCACGCTTAGAGACAGAAAAAGAGGAGAAAGAATGGAGGTGGAAAACACAGGGTAGAAATGTTAGAACAGAAAGAAACACAGGAGAAAATGCCATGAGGGCCAAGGGAGAAAAGGGTCCCCTGTCAGGACTTCCTGAAGTCTGGAACTGGAAAGGACCATGACCAAGACAAACCCCTGATCTGGCCACTGCTGGGTAGCTTTGAGAGGACATCTTCCAGTAAAGAGGGAAGGAAGACATGCTGATGTGCACCAATAATGAAGGAAAGGGGTACACAGCAGACGCTACTGATTTAAAAAGTTTGGTGATAAAGATATAGTAGTTTGAAGGTGATGACCTTTTTTTCCCTCCCCAAATATAAGGGAGCTTCCAGAATTGGGGATTGCCAAGAGGGATACAGTAGAAAGTCCTGAAGGGAAAGAAAGAATACATCACACTTAAGATGCAGGCAAAGGATTGAAACCTGAACAGATACTAATCAGATAACTCAGAACATCGCAAATGCTTCAGAGACTTTACAGGACCAAGAGCCTGAAAGAGGATGTCGCCCCATCAACACAATAAAATGGCTTTCAAATGATGGGCCTTCTGTGAGTTATGAGATAAAGAATCTCAAACCTAACTCAGACCAGAGAGGGCAGCTCTACAACTACCTTCCTCATAACCAAAACCACGGTCACAACTGTCACAATAAGTCTGGGCTTGCTCTCTGGATATATTTTCAAGAAAGACATCACAGAGCTGGTGTAAAATTTGTAGTGGTGAATTTACATATTCATATAGAAAGCCTCATAGAAATCCTGAGTGACTCTAAGCCAGCATTTCAGCAGTTACTTTCTTTCAAGCTATGTTTTTTTCTTCTTGAATTTGATTTTGGTTCATTGTCCTTCGGTGCCAATTGACTCCAGCACTAAGTGAACAGTCTCATAACCAGAGGGTTGGATTTCACAGTTCCACTCTGCTGTCTTTACTATAGGGTGGTTTAAGTTGCTATATTAAAACATTATTTTTTCACAGTGGAGCAGACAAACTAACTCTCAAAAAGGCAGTCTCAATTTTCCACTTGGAAAGAGCAGCGCTAACATTTTCCACTGATGGTTGAAGGATTATTCACAACACACAAGTTTTTATCTCTGGGTTGTACTGGCTACTTGAAATTAACAAGTTGTTTTCTGGAATAACCAACATGTTTTTATAACAAGCCTCATATAAAGACTTGCCTTTTGTATGTGAAAGACTCAAAATTAGAGTAGGGTCACCACTGAGTGGGATAAAGGATGCAACTTTCTCAGACTTAGAGACCCCTCTCTTTTTGGTGACAGATCCCTGTTGTAAAAAACGCTATGTAAGGGTTGTGGCTTCTTTTGTAAGTTCTGGCCTTACCAAAGAGTTTTAAGTTCCCTATCACTGTGATCCAACAACAACAACAGCAACAACAACAACAAAGCCTTCCTAGAATGTTAAACCTTAACATGTTCAAGTGATTGGAATACAGTCAAAATTACCACACAAGGTTGATTTCAGAAAACCAAGAATTTTATAAAGGTACAACTAGTAAAGAAAAAACGTTAAGTTAGAGGACAGTGTGTTCTGAGGGACTATGACAAGGTGGTGACTTTAAGTGACTCTTTTAGGACAAAAAAACAAATAGTCTATGACACCTGGATAAAGTGCAAGATCAAGGCAGGTGCAGGTGTAACACCTGGGCTCAAGTTGTTTCAGTCCACCACACAGAAGCTGGGGAACAACAGACCCTGCTTCTCTTTAGGTCTCTGTTTCCTCACCTATAAAATGGGGATGACCATGCCCACCTCAGAGTCAATAAAACATGAGGATGTTTGAGAAAAGACAGTAAATTGTTATTCTCTTTGAGGGTTTTACACAGGCCTTAACATCAAAGGATCAATCCATTTCCATTTCCAAATGAAATAAATCAATGCGCTCCCTAACTAGCATAATGAACCCGGCTCCAGGTCAAAGATTTGTGTCACATCACATTAAAGTAAGAGTAATCTAGAAACTTTACTGTGCAATAATTCTTCCACCAGAAGAATATACAGAAGAGAAAAGCGGGGAAGGGAGGGGGAAAAAAGGAAAGGAGGAGAAGGGAAAATAAAAACAAAAGAGAAAGGGAGAATTGAAGGTTCCAAGGGGAAGAGCCTCACCATCTGTTCATCCTCTTTGGCAGCCCAACTGGCACTGAGGGTCTGACCTCCACTGTCCTTCGTCAGGCGAACTTGAACATGCTGGAGATAGGCAGAGAATGCTATTCGGGCCTGCACTTTGCTACAGAAATCCAAAACAACACACGGTTATGAGACAGAATGGTAATTCTACCAAATGTGTACCTGCCTCTCTCAAAGTGGCCTTTGATGATCCTTCCATTAGGATGGCTAGGAAATATAAAGCCATCATATATTAAATAAAGAGCCCCAGTTCTAAGCAATACATGAGGTTTAATTTTTTTTTTCTTATTAAAAGGATCAGAGATAGAGAATCCTACTTATACTCTCACTACTGGTATGGGGTGGGGGGGCAACAAGAAGAGAAAAAACAGATTTCCTACTCATCGTGTTGTCTATTTGAACTTTTCTTTTTTCGGGGTGGGGAGGGTACTGGGGATTGAACTCAGGGGCACTTGGACACATCCCCAGCCCTATTTTGTATTTTATTTAGAGATAGGGTCTTACTTGCTGTTGCTGAGGCTGGCTTTGAACTAGCCATTCTCTCAGCCTCCCGACTGCTGGGATTACAGGTGTGTGCCACTGCAGCCGGCTATTTGAACTTTTTAACACCTTTCTTGGGAGACTGGACGAAAGTACTGAATCCTCACAAGAAACACTGTAATAAGGTTTTGTGTTTTTGTTTGTTTGGTTGGTTGGTTTTGGTATGTATGTATGTGTGTGTGTGTGTGTGTGTGTGTTTGTTACTGATTCTTTTTGCATTGGAGGCCCTTGAGGACATATTTATCAGAGAGTACAAAAGTATGGATTTTGTTATGCCAACTAAGATTTCTCATGTGCAAAACCTCTGAAACAGGAAATTGATAAATCCTACAAAAGGAACTTTTGAGACCATATTTTAAGGTCATGCTTTTCTCAACTACAAGACAGGAGTGGCTAGAGCCCAGAACAAATGAATGAGGTCCAACAGAGTTTGGCATAGATAAACCAATGGGCTGGGACAAGCCCAGATGTTCAGTGAGGGAAAAGAAAGCCTTAGCAATAGTGACAAGCACCACGGCAACTTTGCTGAAGAATCCATCCTTCTGCCTAGACAAGGGAATGTGATCAAGCTATAGCAGGAAAGACAGAGGTACTGGGGAGACAGTGATGATTTTCACTTCAGCTGCTAACTGTGGCAGATCTGTTTTCTTTCAGGCAAGATTTTGGTTACTTCAGCTGATCGGCCTTCTGGCACTGTAGCCAAAATTACATCAGCGATGATTAGAGCCCAACACAAACTCTGTTTACAATCCTCACACATGCAGTCACTGGATGCTTTCTACTCACTGTCCCCCAAGATTAGGATGAAGGGTTTGTCCACAGCAAACTGGAAATCCCAAGAGGGTCCGGGTCTAGGTTCTGTGTGTCTTTGCAGGATTCCAGGGCAAGGGAGTTGGGATGGGTGTCCATATGCTCTTTAGAGTTTCAATCATAAGAGCTTCAGAACATGGACTATATATATAAATAAGGCCAAATCTCTGTTACTGCCAGGGATAATTTATGGGAGCACAATATGAATCTGAAACAATAAATTTGTATTTCCAAATGTTTTCAACAATTATATTCTTGTTCACCTAGAAAGTATATCTACTATTTCCCCCTCAGCCATCTCCATAAGCTTTACCTCCATAACAAATGATTTTCAAGTCAAAATACATTAAAAAGATTGTTCGCTTTGGGAAACAAATTCACATGTAACATAATAAGCAAAAAAGTGTTTTAGACATCTCCAAATGTAGCAGAATACTCAACTGCATCGATTGGTCCCTTTATATTAAAGCATGAAGGTCTTTTGGAGAGGGAATTATTGCTCATAAGTTGGTATTTCAATCGTTGTTTTGTTGCAAGTCAAATGGAAAAGTACTGAGATTTTCATTTCTATAAACCTTACTGAAGAGATGCCTGGAATGTTAATTCTAAGATTGTCTCAAAGTTGTTGATCAGCTAGTCACTTGCATCATACACCCCACTCCAGCAAAAAAGAAAGAATGAAAACCAGAAGGATTTAAAGGAAAAGGAACTTATTTTTAAAACCCAACAGGTTGTATAGATGCTCAGCATATAAAACATACAACAAGGAGGCTGTGCCTGCCCCTGACTTTGCCCTCCCCAGACTTCTCACCAGCTACTGAGATGCCCCACAGGACAACAAGCAACTTTGGGGAACACAGTCTGATATCTGCTCATCTACACAAATGCACCCTGCAATTTTAACAGTTTACTTGTTGAAAGTGAGATCCCTAAGATTTATGAAGAAGTAATTTATTTCTATAACAGCTAAGGAAAATGTTATTGCTGGAAGAGAGCTCAGGATACAGTCCAGTGGTTTTCAGATGTTCTATTTTCAATTCACTGGAATCTTTTTTCCCCTCCAGAAAGCAGTTGGAAAAACCGTTGTCTAACCCCACACCTTGGCTTGACAGGAAAGGTAACTGAGGCCTACAGAAGCTCTTTGACTTGCCTATGATCACATAATCAGTTGGCAGCACTAAAAGCCAGTGTCTGGGTATCCTGATTGAGTTCCTAAGACTTGAGCTCACGAATGACCTATTCTCATTCTCCATGACTCTGGAACAAACCTGAAATCTATGCCTTTGCATGCCAATGTCACCCTCCAGCCTCTCAGTATGAGCGCTGGCCTCTAATAGAAAATAAAGGCCATCATGCAAAAACACCAACACCTCGCTGCTCTTTAGCGTCTACCTATTATCATCTTCCCACAGTCCTCTTCTTCTGACTTTTAGAAAGAGATACCCCTTCCCAGCCTCTTTCTACATTGCTTTAGGATCCTTCTCGGCCAATATATCCATTTCCACATCTCTAATCCTCTGTCTATCAAACCCCTCCCCTTAATCTAATAAGCTCCAGAATCCCTCTTTTACAAAGAATATCGCTTTCTCTTAGCTGGTTCCTCCCTGATGCGGTCTTACCTCCCTCTCATTGCCAAGCCCTTTGAAAAAGTTCCTTCACACTATTTTCTTGGTTCTTCAGCTCACAAATCCAGGAGTCTATTTTCACTCTTTATCACTACTTGAGTGGTTAAAGGCATCGTAAAGGCCCCAAATCTCCTCTTAGAGCTTTTCTATGTACTACTCCCTCCCACATGTATGCCTCTCTAATTCTAGGTCTTTTTACTGACTTCCTCATTAAACAGTGGTGTTCCCCAGGGCCCCATGCTCTTGCTTTTCTCCTTGCTGAATTACAGAATTGCTAATTCCACCCACTTGGAAGGCCTTGACCTACAAAGCTATACTTTCACTGTCTTCACTCTGTCTTAAATAAAACCCATTATTTCTTTATGAAATAACTCCTACATCCCTTATGATGACCAATGGCATCAACAGGTTGACAAATGTGAACACTTAGAGATTGTCACTTGTACCATGAAATCCCACCAAGCCCATCCCATTCTCTCCATTCTTATAGCCACTGCTCTGGTCAATGCCTTCATCTTCCTGGTCCTGAACATCCCAACTGTCCCGAACTCACCTCTCTGACCTTTGATTGACCCAAAATGCAACTGCAATTTTTTTTTTTTAAATTAGACTGGACAATCACGCATGTCTAAAAAACATCCAGAAAATAAAGCCCCGGCTCCTCTTAATTTTGTAATTTACCATCATCCAACTCGTTAGTGTCATTTCTCTTCACGTTCTTCTGTCCACAAAATTCTCTGCTACTCTAGTATGTGTCTCATAGACACATCATGCTCATCCCAATTTCAGGACCTTGTATTTCCTGTTCTGCCTCAAGTATTCTGCCACTTGACATTCTCATGACTGACTCCTCATTATTCAAAACTCACCTCAAAGGTTGCCTCTCCATGCCTGACCACCACAATCTAAGTCAGCCTCTACCCAATCACTTGAACATGACACCAGATACTATCTTCAGAGTATTTCTCACCACCTGGAGCTGCCTTGTGTCCCTGTTTGCTGCCAGTATTCCCCACCAGACCAGACCACAAGCTCCACAAGCCTGTCTTGGTCCCCATCGTAATGCCTAGCAAAACTCTTGGCACAGGGCAGGTGCTCAGGAAGTATTTGTTAAGGAACCAAATGAATGCCTATACAATTCTATTTATATAACTAGTGCTTATACCTAGTGCTCCCATATGGAGTTGGTGCTGCCCAAGCTTCCTGAAGCCCTATATTCATCAGCCAGGGCCTGGTGTGGCCTGCCTCCTCCATGTGCCTTTCTAGCCCTTCAAAGACTCACCATTATTCCTTTTTCTGTGTCCTAAGAACACTTTGTTCTTACCAGGGTACAGAGTCCCAGGTCCTTAAGGGTCTCCCAAACTCAACCCTGAACTACTTGAGCAACTTGTCTGGAACCTTGTGCTCTTAGCAACTGAGACTAATGACCACCAAATATTTGTTGGCCCAATAAGACCTGGGTTTGTGTCATAGCTCTACTGTGGACAAGGTGCTTAACCTAAGGCCCAGATGCCTTCACAATAGCAACGTCCAATCATAGTCATTAGTTCACAGGATTCTTGTGAATATTGAATAAAAAATGACTGTCAGGCCATTAAAAAAAAAAAGTTCCAGGTACACACCACAAATGAGCCACAATCAGTTTCACTATTATAATTACAAAAAGTCACTTGCCTTAGGTTTCCATTATCTTGCAGAATCTGCATCAGGTTGAACTTCGGCTCTGGCTCCTGAGTGTCAATTTTGCAGCCCTGTTCACCTTTATTACTCCATTCGGGAACCTTCATGGAATTTTCTTTGGATGAATTTTCTACCATAACAGTCAATGAGGGTGAATATTTGGCTTGATTTTCTCCAAGAGACCCTGCAGACTCCTCCTGGGAAGCTTCCTGCTCTTCATCTTCATTGTCTAATGCCACTTCTTCCTCCTCTTCACTCTCTGTCTCAGTTTTAACATTCATTTCAGCTGGTTGGGTAATCACTAAATGCGAAGAATCACTAATGTTGCTGAAAAAAGGATTAAGTTTTCCTCTCTCCCAATACCTTCCTTTTATCTTTGTAGTAAAAACCCAGTTCTAAATAAAACCACAAACAAGGTACAAAATTAGCAGCAACCACATGTCACTCTCTAATTGCATATATTGTAAAAAGAGATTATCTTCATTCAAGTTGATATTTCTCATCATATCAACAGTTTAAACAATAAATGAAACCCTCTCCTCCCCACAAAAACAAAACAAAACAAAAACCACCCAATTGAGTAATCTCTGTAGTGTGCTAGGGTTTTTAGAAAAGCACCTGTCATAGAGGCACAAGGAATATGGCTTCCTATGTGTTTACTCATCGCCCTTTTCTCCACTGCCTTGTAAGCTCTGGAAGAACCATATCTTTTTTATTTCCCAACGAAAGCCCAGTGACTAACATGCTGCCTGATACAGGGACTCTACAAGGAGGGCAGCAGCAAGGGCAAGAGGACATCAGTCTATAGTGAATTAAAAATAGACCCTACAACGTGGGAGAATCTGAGAGAGAAGGAAATTCTCCTTTGTCTATATCATTTTGCAATTTCAAAGGATGAACTGGACTTACCTAATCAGCAAAAACCCAAGAGCACTGTTCAGAATTCCACTAAACTCAGGGTAACATCATTTCTAAAGTATCAGGTATTTGTATGATAGCGGAATAAGGGCAAGAGCCAAATGCTATATGCTTTGAATGGAAATATTTGTTTCCATTCAAAAAAAAAATATTTTGAATGGAAGGGTCTAAAAATCGTTTTGAAATTAAGTTTCAGAGAGAAAAGTACTATACAACAAAAATGAGTGCATGTGAAGAGGAAAGTTCTGACCCCGATTACATAGCTTGGTGAAAGCTCACAGGCAGGTACCTGGGTATTTTGGCCTCACTGCCCTCAATCTGCCACTCCGTCTTCTACGTTTTCGCACCTCCAGAGACAGGAGCTTTCTCTCATAAAGAGCAGCATGAAGCTTGGCCTTTGAGTTCACACTTTCTACCTTCAGTTCTGGTGCTCCGTCCATAGCCATCCTAGGGGAGAACAACAGGATAGCTACAGCCTTTGGAAAGTTCTCTCCTTCATCCCCGTTAACTGAGAATTCTGTAAGGACCAGGTGACTGGGAATGATAACTACAGTGAATTCCAAAAGGTTTGATAGATAAAGGGGAATATATGAATTCTATTGAAACCTCATTAATGGCCTCTCTGAATTTTTAAAAAGGTTCTAAACAAAAATCTACCTAAAGATAATGTTTAAGACTCACAGGGGAAGTGCCTCACTGAAAAGTTAACAAGACTGAGGATCTCACCATGTCTCAAGCATCCCAACATGAGGTCCTGCTGAGGCCACTGCCCTCCTTTATGTCTTGCTTAACCCCAGGAGGAGGTGGGAGAGGTAGCAGAACTCTCCAGGTGTGGAGTGAAAGTCAGAGTTACAGTCAGAGGCACAGACAAGGGAAGGCATAGATGAAGGACGAGGCCAAACTCAGGTCATAAATGAGAAATGAGATGGAGAAAAGGGGCCGCTAGCAGGTACAGCACTCATTAAATAAGACGAATTTCAATTGGGAAGTGTTTGATTTCAAGTCGAATTCTGACAAGAACTGGATGAAGTACTGGGCAGACAGAGATAAGCAGGTCACAAGAAAGAGAGGGGGTGCTGGGTAATTGAGTCAGGAAAGAAGGATCCATGGCAGTGTCTGAAAACATGCAGCTAACTCTGAGTGCTGAGAACTCAGGACCTAACTGTTATTTCTGAACTCTCTAGAACTCAAAATATATTCCCTTTCAGGTCAAGGAATCATCCTAGTTCCTCTGGGAGTTTTCAGTTTCTAAGTGTGATGGAGAGGCTATTATCTTTTAGGCCAGTTAGAACTTTCTGGGAGGATGAAGAGGGCATTGAATCTTTTGAAAGTGTTCTCTTCAGAACAGGATATTGAGCCAAAGCAAGGTCCTGACGCTGGGAACAGGTATGGGAAGTGGGAAGCTAATTAACAAACTTTCTTTCTTTCTTTTTTTGAGATGAGTCTCAAACACAGAGGTATGAAAATAGATATTTAGGAAGTTAAACAATAAAATAAATAAAATCATCCAAAGCATTTATTTAATAGTATCTGGCCAACCTGGTCAAATCTGATAGTTGTATAGGCAAACATTAAAACAGGCAGACATGACATTTCTATCCTATCCTATGTGCTCACAAGGAATAGTTTTTTAAAAAGTTAACGTGATTTAAAGTCTAGTAAGTTTATGCTCATGAACCAATGTCCACTAAATAAATAAAATTGTTTCTGCCTAAACTGCCAAAAACACCTTTCCTTCCTTCCTTTCTTTCTTTCTTGGTACCAGGGATTGAACCCAGGGGCACTTAACTACTGAGCCACATCTCCAGTCCTTTTTCAAACTTTTTTTTTTTTGAGACAGGGTCTCACTAAGTCCTTAGGGCCTCGCTAAGTTGCTGAAGTTAGCATTGAACTTGTGATCATCCTGCCTCAGCCTCATGAGCTGCTGGGATTATAAGTATACACCACCATGCCCAGTAGAATGCAATTCTTTCAGGAAAAATTGATTTCTTTTAGGTAATTATCAATAAAAAGCTTCTGAAAACACAAATCCTAAAAGCTCAAGAGATACAGAAAAGCAATTATGAATTTCCTTCTCTACAGGCATTTTTAAGTATGAACTAAAAGATTCTGGATGTACAGATAAATTCCATAGTACAAGGGCTGGAGAAGATGGAATGCTGGGTAAAGGTGTGAATCTGACAGCTACTCTGGGTAACAGCCATCTTGTTGATCACTGGCTAATCAGTAATTCAATTCTCTATGAATAAGTTATAATATCTTTTAGTTATATCTATTTCATTTTATTTTTTCAATGTTTTATTATAAAAATATTTAAACAGAAGTTAAAATGAACATCGTACACCTACCCACCATCTAGTCTCTACAATGACTCCTTCACTGCATTTGTTCCATCGTATCTATATGCAATCATATATTCCTCTCTCCATCCATCAACCCATTTAATTTGCAAAGCATTCCCAAGTTTCAGACCAATAGTGCACTTTGCTCCTATACATTTCAATTTACAATCATTACTATTTGGAATTCAATATTTGCTTTATGAGATTTTTTTGGAGAAAAAACTTAAAAGAGTGAAATATCCAAATATTAAATGTCATTTAAAAAGTTTTAACAAATGCCTAAAACTTCATAACCCAAACTCTAACATTACTATCAACTCAGAAATTTCTTGTGCCTATTTCCAGCCAATTCCTCCCTAACACCTGAAAGTCAATCGGTGATTGAGTTTTTCATCATGTTTTCATCATTTTACCTGCTTCAAAACCTTAAAACGAAAGGAACCATACAGTCTGAATTCTTGTGTGTAAAGCTTCTCGTATTCAATATGTTTCTGAAGTTCATCCGTGATAGGTATATCAGAATGCATCAACTTTTATTATAGAGTGGCAGGCATTGTCTGAACAGTCCAATTTATCTACTCTCCTGCTGTTGGACACCTATGTTAATTCTTGTTTTGGAATATTATGAGTAAAGCTATTATGAACCTATCTGTATAATCATTTTGTGATTATGTCTTTCATTTCATCTGGGTGGAGGACTCAGAGTGGAATTTACTAGGCTTTATAACAAGACAGATGCTTTGTTTAAAGTGCTTGTACCAGTTAAAACTACTAAAGGTACGCTATCAGAATTGTTAGCTCTACCCCCTATCAGAATAATTATAATAATATAGCCCTTCTGTTCAGTGGTATATCTGGTTTTATTTCACAATTCTCTTGTGCACATTTTCATGAGCATCTTGGCTATCCACATATCTTCTTTTTGAAGTATATGTCCAAATATTTTACCCATTTGTAACTAGATGTCTTTTTATTATTGAGTTGTAGCATTTGGTAGATTTTCTAGATTCTAATTCTTCAACAGATACATCTGATAAATATTTCCATCCAGTCCATGGCTTACCTAATCATTTTTTAATAGTACCTTACGATAAAGTTTTAATTTGAGGAAATTATTTTTTGTTTATTGCTGTTATATCTGAAAACCTTTACCAAATGCAAACACAAAAATGTTCTATAATTTCCTCAACACCATTTTATATAAATAGCTTTTATGTTTATGTCTATGAATCACCTCTAATTTCTGAGACAGACAAGAGCTGAGTTCATTTAAAATATGATAACTAGTTGTTCCAATCCCATTTGTTAAAAGAATTCTGTAGCTGGGCACAGTGGTGTATGCCTATAATCCCAGCTACTCAGAAGGCCAGTCTGGGAAACTTAGCAAAACTTGGTCTCAAAATAAACAATAAAAAAAGGCTGGGAATGTAGCTCTGTGGGAGAGCACCCCTCCCTGGGTTCCATTCCTTTTCCTATTGGATTATCTCAGCTTTTGATATTTATTTATTCATTTATTATTTATATATGACAGTGGAATGCATTGCAATTCTTATTACACTTATAGAGCACCATTTTTCATATCTCTGGTGTATACATAGTATATTCACACCAATTCGTTTCTTCATACCTGTTCTTGGATAATAATGATCATCCACATTCCACCATCATTAATTAACCCGTCATTAATGCCCCCTGCTTTCCCCTCCAACCCCTCTGCCCTATCCAGAGTTTGTCTATTCCTCCCATGCTCCCACTCCCTATCCTACTATGAATCAGCCTCCTTATATCAAAGAAAACATGAGCTTTCTATTACAAATCAATGACCATATAACTACAGGCCTGTTTCTGGGCTATTCTGTTGCAATAATAAATTTGCCTCCATCTTGATTACTACAGCATTAAAATATTTAAGCCAGGTACTCTAAATCTTATTCAAGATTACTTTGGATTTTCTAGGTTCTTTGTATTTCCATATAAAAAGTGGGTCCATTTCCACAAAAAAAAAAAAAAAAAAAAAAAGGTACTAGAATAATGATTAAGTTTGCACTGGATCTTTAGATCCAGAGAATGGGTACTTCAACAATACTGAGTCTGCTGATCCTAGGGCAAGGCATCTCTCTCCACTTATTTAGGTCTCTCTTCATGTCTTTCAGTACTAGTTTTTAGTTTGTAGCTTTTGGTCTATTTAAGTATTAAACATATCTCATTATATTTATTCCTAAGCATTTTGTGTTTTCAAATGCTAGTATAAATAGAATTTTGTTTTACTTTCTAATTACTACTAGTCAGTATATTAAAATGCAACAGATTTTACTATATTGATCATGTGTCCTAAGACCTCACGCTATACTACATGCACCTATATGTTCTTGTAATTCTTTTGTGGATGCCTCAGGATTTTACACTAACTTGATTATGTCATCCAAGAATGAAGACATTTTACTTCTTCCATTCCCATATGTATGTTTTTTGGTTTTTTTCTTCCTTGTTTTATAATATTGCCTAGGGCCTCTAGTACAATGTGAATAAAAGTGGTGAGTGGACAACCTACCTCCTTACTGATCAGCAGGGGAGGACTTCAATTTTTTACCAGGCATGACGTTAGCCATAGTTTTCACATATGGCCTTTATCAGATTGAAGAAGCTCCTTTCTGTTCCTGATTTGCTGAGTTTTTCTCATAAAATATGTTTTGTATTTCATCAGCTGTGGGTTTTTTTCCCCCTGTGGGGTTATCTAATAAAATAATCATTTAGTTTTTCTCCTCTGTGGTGAATTATATTGCCATTTTTCCAATATTAAATCTGGGCCAGGGATGCAGCTCAGTAGCAGAGCACTTGCTTAGCTTGCCCAGGACCCTGGAATCAGCCCCCAGCACTACCCAAAATCAAAAAAGTTAAATCAACCTTGAATCATTGGGGAAAATTTCACTTACTCATATGTAAATTTCACTTACTCATATCCTTTTCCTATACTGGTGGATTAGACTGATTTTTCCTCTCTCTTTCTCTCTCCCCCTCGGATAAGACCCAGGCTGGCCTCAAACTACTAGCTCAAGTCATCCTCCTGCCTCAGCCTTCCAAGTCACTAGGATTATAGGTGTGTACCTGTATCACCATGCCCAGCAATATTTATTACTATTCTTCAAAGAAACTTTGTGACTTTTCTTGTGAAGGATATTAGGATATTTTCTTCTTCTTTTTTAACATCAGGTTTTGGCATCATGGTCATGTTGGTATCATAGTAAGAACTGGGAAGGAGTTTGTGTAAGATGGGTGTTGTTCCTTCTTCACGTCACTAACAGAATTCACCAACAGAATTCACCAGTTAAACCAGTAAGTGTGGAGTTTTCTTTATAGAAAGGTTTTTCATTACAAATTCGATTGTCTGAAAGGATACAGTGTTCTGCAATATTTGTTTCAGGTTTTGTCAGTTTGGGTAAGTGCCCCTCACTGAGGAAATTTAGTCATTTTATCTAAATGTCAGAGGGTAATAGAATAAAGTAGTTAATAATAGTCCTTTAACTCTTTTTATGTCCATACAATCTGTCAGGACTCTGCTTTTCTCTCCCTGATAGTGGCACTGTGAGTTCTCTTTCTGTTCTTCTAGATCAGTTTATCTAAGGGTTTATCAATTTTAGTAGCTTACCAATGAATAAACTTTGAATTTTGTTAACTTTCTTTATTGTTTTTTTTAGTTATCTGTGCTCTTTAATATTTCCCCTCTTTTAAACTTATTTTTGATTATTATGCTTTTTCTAGTTTCTTAACATGGACATTAGATCGGTGATTTTAGTCCTCAGTTTTCTAACATTTTAAAGCTCTACATTTCCTTCAAAGCATTACTTTACCTGCAGCCCATACATTCTGATGCTATATTGTTATACTGAGTTCAAAATATTTCCTAAATTCCTGTGATTTCTTCCTTGATCCATAGATTATTTGGAAATATGTTGTTTCATTTCCACATTTAGGGATTTTTCTATTGTTACTGATATCTAATTCCATTGTGGCCAAAGAACATCCCAGAATCATTTCAATCCTTTTAAATATATTAACACTGTTCCATGCTCTGGTGTAGGCGCCACAGGCCAGCTTCCATTTGTTTACATCTCTACACCACCGAACCCCTACTGATGGTGACACAAATGAGTGCTGAACAAGGAAGGACAGAACTCACAGATCTCAAATATTCTTACTGGGTAAGATTCATTCTTTCTGTTCCCAATGCCAATCTGACAGCACTATGCTCTAGGAAGTATATTCCTGGGCTAAAAACTAGAGAAAACTTAGAAACTAAGTGTGACTTTCCTTTGGAAACAAACTACAAACTTGATTTACTTCAGTTTCCCCTTCATTAAAAGGCAATCTTAATGCTTTCCTTCTTTAAAGAAAAATTAGATTGATGCTTCAAAGGGCCTAGCTGAGAAACCAAGTTTCCCTCTTTGTTTTAACTCTTACAGGCAAAACAAAAAGCTGTGTATAGGAAGTTTCTTCCTCATTGTCATCACATTGCTATTTTTAAAGAGGTACAGCACAAAGAGGGTATATGTAAAGCCTCACACTCTCCATAACCAGAAGATGTATGTTTAGGCTAAGAGTTTTTGCGGTCATTGAAGTCTTCAGTGAGGCAAAGCCATCTCTGACACATTTCTATTTTCTGCCCAAATGAAAAGTTACAGGTATTTTGCACCCTTCGAGTTCCACAGCAAACAGAAAGTGAGTTTGGCTCAGTCCCATAAGGCACAGGGCCATATGCCTCAGAATGTCAGGACCGAAGCATAAGCTCTTATTTGAATCTAACATGGCAATGCTCTTGAAATCTCATTAATACTCTGGTCTCTCTCACATAGCCAAACAAGAATACGGTTATTATTAGTTCAAATGATATACATGTAATTATAAGAAAATAAATCTCAGTTTATAAAAAGTGGCCACAAAATACTTTTTCAATAGAAAACATTTTTATGTTACTATTCATATTGAGCCAAATTGAAAATGGTCATATAAAGTGTTATGCTTAGTCTGTGCATGGTCATACTATTATGCACATGGAAAGAATTCTCAACTTTTAAAAATCAGTTACCGTGTTCTTCCTGTCAATAAGCTTCTTCTTGGGTTTCCCCTACAGAAGTAGAAAGGACAACTGGGTTAGAGAATGCTCTTCAGATATTCACTCTGGATTTCACACACACAAACATGCCTCCTGAACTCTTTTATTATAGACATTCAATATGAAATCATAACAGAAAGTGCACCTTGAGAGGAGAAGCCTACAGATCAGCTGAGAACATTCTCAGAGAAGAGCAGAATATTGTGAGCTGGAGGGAAGCTCAATAAAAAACAGAAGGAAAAAAACAAAGAGATTCTGGAGAAAAATGGTAACAATGACTTACATTTGTCAATCTACTTACAAAGCAAATCACATTTATTCCTCTCCACAATCTTGTGAAGAAGGGTGTTCTTAGCTCTGTTTATGTAAATGATTCTGGAACCTGCCCACAGTCAGAACTTCAAGATTTTATATCTCAACCCAGGACTTGGTTAGTCTCAAACTCAGGGCTCATTCTACCTTCACTGAACTATTTCAGGAAAGGAAACCAAGTTCAATTCTTATGGGGTTCCACAAATTAAAAAAAAATTATATATACATACATACATATGTGTATGAATGTATAAAAGAGAGAGAGACAGACACCATCCACTGTCTCTAAACTAGGGTTGGGCTCTAACCACAGGAACCGAGTACCATTTTAAAGTTTAAATAGGCTTTCAAAACATTCTCTCATTGTTTCCTTTCACTTCATACATTTTATTTGTGAATGTGTATACTTAGTTTAGCACAATTTTATCACCCTTGAAAATTCATGTGTCCACCATCACAAGTGAGCTGCTGAACTATGACCTCAGCCACCATAAGCATCCCCTGTGCTGCTCTTTCATAACTACACATACCTTCCTCCTACTTGATCTCTCCCATTAACTGCTCATTCTAAAACTTGTCATCTCAGAAATGTCATATACATAGAATCACTCAGCACATAACTTATGGGTTTCTTTTTAAGAGACAAATGCAATGCAGATTATATTTATTTTAAAAAGTAAAGTGAAAAGTTGTCTTTACCAAGATTTTTGTCTTTACCACATCTTATATCCCTGATATTGTCAAAATATCATCAAAAAGTCTCAAGGCAACTTTAACTCCTTTGCTACATGAAAGCTTTCTCCAGTAATCTGTTATCATGGCTTCACATTATAATCAGTGGGGCAGCTCTTAGTAAGGACTTCCTTCTAGGGGTGGGCCAGGGCACAAATGTGATTTACAAGATTCCCAGGAGTTACAAATATGTAGCCAGGCTTACAACTAGGGCCACTGAGTAAGACACTTATGTAAGATATTATGTGCCAGGGAGACAGGCAGAGGAGTCGGTGGAGAAGGCAGGTGAACAAAATGAACTTATAAGAAACAAGAAGACTTAGTTTGAAAGTGCTTCTAACAACACAATTGGATTTGCAAGAGGAAATACATCAATTCAGACTGAAGAAATTTACTAGAATATATCAGAATCTGGAATAATGCAATTTCATTTTTTCAATCCCTGGTTTTGTGTGTCTGCCTACGATGTGGTAGATAGGTTCTTGATATAAACAAATATAACAAACTACCCACTCTAAAGGGCCAACTTGTTAAACACAAGTTAGCAAAAAGGAAATTACACTACAATCTGGAAAATTAAACCAGACTGAAGAGTAAAAGAAAGGATGAGAATACCGCCTCCTAGTCAAGGCTGAAGGGAAGAAGAAAATAGGAATTTAGTTAACAACCGAAGTCCATTGCAAGGGAAAGAGAGTTTGTAAGGATAAGGAATTGTAAAATGACAAGTAAAGACGGCCTCATTGGCCATGGGTTAGGCTAAAATGGTAGGCAAGAGTAAATCATGAAGGCATTCTTTACTGAACAAGGAAATTTATGTTTTCTTAATCCAAATTTCTAGAATGCTTTATAAGCAGGAGTTGTTAACTGGGACTTGAAGAAAGAATGCAGGGAATATAACAACTTAAGATAGAAAAACATTATCTCCTCTAATGAAAAGGTTCCTCCATATAAATGTAGGAATCCATAGTAGTGAATTAGTGTAACTTTATTATCAAAAGAAATACATCTTTTCTTATACTACTTAGAATTGTGACAGGGATCTCAAAATACTATCAGTATTTTTTCTGTGAAGTTTTGGTAATTTTCAGGCCTGCTGTTAGGTTTTGCTATTTCGTGTGTTAGCAAAGCACATCTATTATTATAGTCTTAAATTTTTTGATTGTTATGTTACTTGTAAGGGAATGCTTCCTAATTTTGGCTAACATAGTAGTCCCCAGTTTGTCTACTGTACCCTTCTTCCTCAGGAAACCCAAGTACTAGAAGATCCAGCCTCAGGCAGGGTCCATGTCAGGTCGGGAATCTCTCTAGATGACCTGTAAGAAAACCAGGCAAACCACCAAAGGGCCCAGTCCTTCTCAAGAGGACTGAACGGGCAGAGCTCACCAGATATTTGCAGATATGTGACAATAAAAACCAAAAAGAACAAAGTGAAAAAACAAAATCAATACAGATAAATTATATAATGCAAAAGCTAAAAGGAACTTAACTAAGACTGAGATTTGAAAAGAGTTCATATCCATAAAATATGAAAACTAATTGAAGATAATTCTTGGATATCAAAATCATATTCTCCAAATAAAAAAGTAAATTAAAGAGCTTCTCTTCTATGAGGATAATGAATTCAAAAAGCAAAGAACAATAACAACAAAAAAATCCAAAAAACAAAAACCTTGAGGATTAATTTAGAGTTTTAGAAGACAAGTTTCAAGAAATCTCTAAGAGTAAAAAGATAAAAAACACAATGGGATGTGAAAAAGTCAAGGATCCAGGGGGACACAGCCATGACGGCTGGAATCTGGGTCTCTGTTTTAAGAATCATTCAAAAAAAGATAGATATTTTCAAAATAATACGATTTCTCTGAATAACTCAGGTGCCAGGTTTTGATAATTACTGAAGAGTGTTCAATGCAGTTGTGTCTCAGGGGCCATTGAACTTTGTGGGACTAAGTGACGCCTGGTCACCATGCTACTTGAATTCCAGTGTCTGTTCTCCATCCTTTCCCTATTTTCTCTTGTGCCGAGATGATCAGCTGTCATTTCCTACAAGTCTCAGTGAATTTATTTTGTAAATTCCTTTCTCTCCACTTTTTCTGATGTGTTAATTATAATCTCTTCTGGTCTAGAAAAACTACCTGTTCTATTAAAATTGTGCCTAAGGTCAAAAGGCAATGAGTAGGAACGGCATCTGTTAAGACTGCTCAAAGATCTTTATGGTTTAATTTTGGGTTTTTGAGAATGTTTCAAAGTGCTGAGAGTTACTGATAGATTCTGAAAAATGAAGTGTGCTACGTTTTCCGCAAGGTTTTTTCTATCACAGATTTTACAAACGTTTTGATAAAACTTCTTTCTTTCTTTTACATACACTTTGTCCTAATCTTGTGACCTAGTCCTAAATTTATGAGTTTAGCAAATCCCCACCTGTCCTGGAAGAGGCGTGTTGCCAGCATGTAGTTCATGGAGGTTTTGTGCTCGAGGTAGGACCTGAAGGACAAAGAAAGAAAGCAGTTATTGCATGAGCTTAGCTCAAGAGGAAAATATAGAAATAAAAACATGAACCAAGCACAGAAGGGACAGGTTACTTACATACTGTTCTAAAGAAATACGCTGTTTTAAAAGTGGCAGGTGAGTAGACCACTGCTCAAGTTAAAATTATAAAATACCAGAGTAGCAGCAAGTAGAATAAATGAAAAGAATAAAGGAAAAGAACTTAACTTAGAAAATAAAAAGAAAAAAAGGGCAACATTTCTTGGGTTAATAAAAGGTGATATTAGTAAATTCAGAAAATGAATCTGAAAGATAAAGATACACATTACAGATATAGAAATCGACCACATCACACATGTTGAAATCGTCAAATGAAGTGAGGCCCGGAGATGCAGAAAGGGCATGAGATATAGACAGGAAACTGTTTCTTTCTTTTTTGTTTTTGTTTTTTGTTTTTTTTTTTTTTGGTACCGGGGACCAAACCCAGGGGGCACTGGACCACTGAGCCCCATCCCTAGCCCTTTTTGTATTTTATTTAGAGACAGGTCTCACTGAGGTGCTTAACGCCTCACCGTTGCTGAGGCTGGCTTTGAACTCAGAATCCACCTGCCTTAGCCTCCCGAGCCACTGGGATTACAGGATGCAATTCACTCGTAGATACATACTCAGGAGACATATTCAAGAATATATATAGCACAGCAAAAGACCAGAAAGAAGTCAAATGACCTTCAACAGGAAAATGGGACAATTAACAGTAGTACAAACGCATGGTAAAATAAAATAAAGCACTGAAAAGGAATGAGGTATAGCTACAGGCAACCACATGGACCTTAGTATCATAATGCTTAATGGAAAAAGCAAGCATACATAAAGCATGCCATTTTTTGTTTAGAAAAAGGTCAAAAGCATTTATAACAATAGAATTCTTCTTCTACACAAGACAATAACTGCTATAGGACCTGCACTCCTAGCACAAAGAGCTAGAAAAGCGTATGACATAAAAGAAACAACTGTCTTCAGATATCAAACAACCGGCAGCACAGAACTGTGATCCCTGATAGAGGGAAATAAAAATCTCCAGACTATATAAGAAAAGGTCTCCCAACAGTCTCCCAGAAGAGATGGTAGAGATCCGAATTCTAGGAAGCGGCTAGAGTTTTCAGAGAAGACAGCTACAGAGGAAAAACCTGTGCCTAAGAGGAAATCCCAAACAGGGGTCCCTAGAGTCCTCTGGTGAATACTAATCCACTCAGGCACAGAGTGCAAGGCTAAGCGAAAAGCAACTGTCAGAACAAAGAACAAAGCAGAAGCCACAAACTCCCAGAGTTCACACAAGCCTGCAAGCTGAGTTTCACTAGTCAGGAGAGATCTTCTTATACATGGGAGTCACTGAGCAGACATCCCAAAGGAATCTTTAGTGGCAGAACTGTCCAAGATCTAGGAAAAAAAGGTATTCTCAATAAACCAAACAATGTTTAAAAATTTGCTTAAAAATATTTAGTTGATCTACAAGTAACTGAGGTGCCTGACAGAAAACAAACACTTCACAGATTTTAAGAAGGCAATAAAATCCAAACACTCAGATATGACATTTATAATGGTCAGTACCTAAGCTGAGAATGGTGATGCATGCTGTAATCCTAGCAACCTGGGATTACAAATTTGAGGCAGGATTGCAAGTTTGAGGCCAGTAATTGAGAAAGGTCTGAGCAACTTGGTGAGACCCTGTCTCACAATAAAAACTAGAAATAAACATAAAAAGGGCTGGGGATGTGTCTCAGTGGTTAAGTACCCTTGGGTTCAATTCCCAGTACAACAAAACAAACAAAACATACTCGCACAAATACACACACACACACACACAGGTCAGTATCCAATCAAAAAATTACTGTACATATGAAGAAACTGGAAAAATGTAAACCATTTACAAAAGGAAAATCAGTCAACAGAAATAGACCCAGAAATGACAGAAATAACAGAATAAGAAAAAGATTTTAAAAGTTACTATATTTATATGCACAAGAATCTAAAAGAAATCAAACACACACACAAACAAAATAAAAAATGAAAAAGAGCAAAGGAAAACATTAAAAAGAAATGGGAATTCTACAGATGAAAATAAATGATCTGAAATGAAAATTTCACTGGAATTAATAGATTAGCATTAATAAAGATTAATATTAATAAAATGAAGGCAAGAAAGGGAAAAGTCTGAAAAAATATAAACATTGATAAACTTGCAAAATATGAACCAATTTAACATGTAACCAGAGTCCTAGAAAAATAAAGGAAAGGAGGGAACTAGAAAAAAATTATTTGAAGAAATAATGGCCAAAAGTTTCCAAATTTGATGAAAACTATGAGCCCACAGCCCAGGAAGCTCAAAGAATCCCCCAAAGAAAGAAAGCTATAGAAAAGCAACCTGATTAAATGTGCCATATCGTTTAAACAGCAGCCCTCTAAAGTAGGTGTTATCATTTCAGTTTGACAGAGTGGGAGGCAGGTCTCCTGATACAGGTGACAGGAGACTTGCCCTCTGCTAAAGTACAGCTAGAAAGCTGAGATTCAAAGCTAGGACCTCCTCTCCCAGTAGAGCTTGGGGAAACATAAAAGGCACCTCTCAGCACCAGGAACACTTTTCCTTTGTGGATGTTAGAATCACTGGCCCCTGACCCCAGGTAAAACTAGTAGCGAAAAAAGGATCTGGGCTAACTGCTCATTAAAAGGTCACACTTGAGAATTGTGAATTTAACTCCATTCTTGGTGATGAAGGCGCCTCAAAGACACAAGTTTCAAGTGAGGTTAGATCCAGCAGATCCAAACTGTCCCTAATGCCCTGGTTTATTGGTTCGCTAGTTACAGGCTGGTTCCTGGCATGGGGGCATACCATATGGCAGCTGCAGAATCAAAGGACAAGCTTCCTTTGTCCAGATCTAGCAGAAAGAAAAGAGGACCTCTCTCTCCCAGGCAGGATACTGAAGTGGCTCTGATTGGACAGGCCCTGGTCACACGTCCATCCCTGAACAACTCAGTAGCCTAAGAGTAAGCTGTTCTTATTAGTTTCCCTGGGTTACCTTTGGAGGGAGCCTGCCCAGACCACCTGTAGTCCACATGAAATTGGAGGAATATGTACCATGGAGGATAGTTAAAAAGCAAGTCTACAAAAACACAAAAAAGCAAGCTGAGGGAAAAAGAGACACTGTACACAAATGAATTATTGCACATTTCTCATAAGAAAAATGCAAGCCAGAAGGCCATGGAAAGACATTTTTAAAGTATACTGGGGAAAAAGTATCAATCTTAATTCTATAACTAGTCAAAAAATTCTTTTCAACATGAAAAACACCTGGGCGCAGTGGCACACGCCTATAATCCCAGAGGATGGGGAGGTTGAGACAGGAAGATTGCCAGTGCAAAGCCGGCCTCAGCAATGGCAAGGCACTAAGCAACTCTGTGAGACCCTGTCTCTAAATAAAATACAAAATAGGGCTGGGATGTGGCTCAGTGGTCAAGTGCCCCCAAGTTCAATCCCTGGTACAAAAAAAAAAAAAAAAAAAAACATGAAAAACAAATACTTGTCTTAGATAAACATAAGAGAGAATTTGTTGCCATTGGACCTACACTACAACAAATCCTAAAATAAGTTCTTCAGATAGAAGAAAACGATACCAGATAAAAACCTGAACTGACATAAAAGAATGAATGACACTGAAAATAGTAATAAATGTTTCAATTTCCTTAAATTATAACTCATTATTCAAGTCAAAACTAACAATCTACTGTGGAACTTGCATAGAAATAAAATATATGATAATGATAACACAAACAATAGGAAGAGGAAATGGAAAGTATATTAGTTGTAAAGTCCCTACATTATACATGAATTAATATAATATTATTAGAAGGTGACATTGCAATAAGTCAAAGATGTGCATTCACTTTAGGATAGTAGCCCTAAAAATAGCAAAACAAAGAGGTAAAAGAAATCAATTAATACAAAGGAGCAGGAGAAAATAAAAAGGAGACAAAATTATAGCAACTAAAAAACAAAGAGTAACATGGCATTTTTAAACCCAACCATATGTAAAATTATGGTAAATGTAAATATTTTAACATTCCAAATAAAAGGCAGAGATTAAATTTTAAAATCAAGACTAACCACATACCATCTATGAGAAATCCACCTTAACTATAAAGATAGAGATAGATAAAAGGTAAAACAAGGGGGAAAGATATACCATGCAAATACCTATATCAAAACAGAAGAAAGATTTCAAACAACCTAATGTTGTACCCCAAAGAACTGAAAACCCAAGAACAAACTCAACCCATAATTAGTAGAAGAAATGAAACAATAAAAATCAGAGTTGGTTTTCTGAAAAGATAAACAAAATCAATAAACCAGCAGTTAAAATAATGAAGAGAAAGACTCAAATCCATAAAATTAAAAAAAAGAGAGATATTACAACTGATATCAGAAATACAAAGGATCATGAGAGTATTATGAACAATTACAAGCCAGCAAACTGGCTTGTAATCTAGAAGAAATGGTGCTCTCCTGGACATGTACAGTTTATCAAGATTGACTTATGAAGAAACAAAAATAAAAACAGATCAGTTACAAGTAATGAGACTGAATCAATAATAAAAAGTCTCTGATCAAAAAAAGAGAAAAAAAGCCCAGAACCTGATATCTTCACTGATTAATTATACCAAATATTTAAAGAAGAATGAACACCAATTCTTCTCAAACTATTCCAAAAAATTCAATGATGAAGGAATACTTTTAAACTCCTTCTACAAAGCCAGCATTATTCTGATACCAAAACCAGATGAAAACAAACACACAAACTATACGAAGACAGATGAACTTAGATTCAAAAATCCCCAACAAAATGCTAGCAAACTGAATTCAATAGCACATTAAAAACGACCGTTTGCTATGATAAATTGGGATTCATTCCAGGAATGCAAGGATGGCTCAACAAATACAAATCAACAACTGGAAGACATTACCTCACAGAGGCATAAAATGCAACAACTCTTCTATGATTAAAAACTCTCAAAAAACTAAGTATAAATGAAATGTAAACACAGAAAACTCACAGCTAACATCATCCTGAACAAGGAAAAGTTGAAAGCTTTTCCTCTAAGATAAGGCTGCCCACTTTTACCACTTCTATTCACCACAGTAGTTAGTCCCAGCAAGAGCAAGTAGGCAAGAGAAAGAAATAAAAGGCATCTCAACTGGAAAGGAAGAAATTAAATTGTTTCCATTTGTAGATGACATGATCTTATATATAGAAAATCCTAGAGGACTACACTAAAAAACTGTTTGATCTAATGAACAAATTTAATTAGGTTGCAGGATTAAAAAAAAAAAACCTCAACATAAAAATCAGAAGCATTTCTATACATTAATAGTGAATTATTTGAAATACAAATTACAAAACAATCCCATTTACAATAGTTAGAAAAAAAGATGCTTAGGAATAAATTTAACAAAGAAGATAAAAGATCTCTATATTGAAAACTATAAAGCATGGATAAAAGAAACTGAATAAAAATAAACAAAGAGACATCCATTTATTAAGGAATTGGAAGAGTAAATATTGTTAATGTGTCCATACTACTCAAAGCAATCCCTATCAAAATACCAATGCCATTCTTCAAGAAACAGGGAAAAAAACTCCTGAAATTTGCGTGGATCTACAAAAGACCCCAAATAGGGAAAGCAATTAAAGGAAGGCCTAGTTGCTGACCTAATTAACTCCATTTTTCCTCTGACTTTTTCCCTCTGAGTTCTCCTGTAGTTGCATTGAATTCCAGAAACAACAGGCCTCACCAATAAACATCTTTATAAAAAGGAGCCAAAACCATCCCCAAGCAAGAGCAAGCCTCATGACAGACAACCCCATGATGAGATGAGCCCTGTAAGCAGGAGCAGTTACCCCATGATGGAGCAGAGGTTGCCCCCCTAAGCAGGAATAATCATCTCATGATAGGAACCAAACTGCCCCTCAAGCAATGAAAATTTACCCAGAATTTCATAAAACCAGTCCTGAGATAATCATCAAGCTGACCCTGGTCTGACCAAGATTACCTGCTTTGCCAGATACGCTTCAACCTCTCTGCCCCCGAGAAAGGTCTAGTGACCTAAGATCTGTCTTTGAGACTTTATGAGCAAAGGCTATGCAAAACCCTGGCCCTTGCCTTTGTTCATAAAACCTCAAAGTTCCTGCCAGTTCCTCAAAGACAGATCTTAGGTCACTAGACCTTTCTCTGTTCTTCCCAGTGTGGCCATTTTAATTAAGGCTCCTTTCTTGCCTTCACCACTGCTTGTCTCCTCAATTGGCATTTTGGAATAGGCAGCCAAACTAGTCTGTTGAAATCCTTGGAATCAGAGCCTTTACCCTAAAATTCTGGTAACAAAATCTTGAGTAAAGGGAACAAAGTTGAAGGCATTATACTAATTGACCTCAAAGTAACAGTAACCAAAATAGCATGGTATTGGCATAAAAACAAGATACACAGACCAACAGAACAGACAACAGAGCCCAGAAATAAATCCACACACTTATTAGCCAACCAATCTTCAACAAAGCTGTGAAGAATACAATGGGGAAAAAACAGTCTCTTTAATAATAGTGTTGTAAAAACTGGATATCCACATGGAGAAGAATGAAGTTAGACTCTTCTCCTTTACCATATTAAAAAAAAAATCAACTAAAATGAATTAAAGATTCAAATGGAGAACTCAAAATTATCAAACTACTGGGGAAAAAAACTAGGAGAATCAGGCATGCTGGCACACTCTTATAATCCCAGCAACTTGGGAGCCAAGGCAGGAGGATCACAAGTTCAAAGCCAGCCTTAGCAATTTAGAAAGGCCCTAGCAATTTAGCGAGATCCTATCTCAAAATAATAAAAAGGGTTGGGGATGTGGCTCAGTGGTTAAGCACCCCTGGGTTCAATTCTCTTTACCAAAAAAAGAAAAACAGGAGGAAATACAGGTGTGCTGGCACATGCCTGTAAACACAGCTACTCAGGAAGTTCAGGCAGAAGGATTAAAATTTTGAGGCCAGTTGGGCAAATTAGCAAGATTCTATCAGTTTTGCTTTTCCTGTATTCACCAATTATAGTTGAAGATTTCAACACTATTCTCAATAGTTGAAGAAACTAGAACGGATAGAGAAGATCTGAATCACACCGTCAAGCTCCACATGGCTGTGGAACACTCCATCCAACAACAGACTGCACGTTCTTTTCAATGTAATATTACATTTATCAAGACGAATGGTATACCGGGCCATACAACAAATCTCAGTAAATTAAAAAAGCTGTAAGTTATATGAAATCTGTTCTCAATAGAAGTAAGCTGGAAATAAATAACACAACGATCTCTGGGAAAACCCCAAATATTTGAAAACTAAATTGTATCTTCTAAAGAACCTGTGGGCCATAAAGAAAACCAATAGAGAAATCAGAAAGTATTTAAATAGAATGAAAAAAATCCAAAATAATGAAAATGCATGGCATGTCACTAAGAAGAAACTCAAAAAGGAAATTTGTGCCCTAAACATTTAGTTCAAGACATATTATAGACCTGAAATAAAAGCTGAAATTGCAAAACTCCAGAAGAAAACGCAAGAGAAAAAGCTTTGCAAAGCTGCGGATGGCACGGATCTCAGACAAGAAATACAAAGGGCCTCAGCCTTCATAAAAGGCCCTGCAGAGCATATGAATAAAAGTCAGCTTCAACTTGGAGAAAATATGTATTTTTCCATGTCTATATGGAAAGACTTGTCCCAGAAGTAGTCACATCCTTTGTAACACAATAACAAAAAATAAAAATGTCAATAGCATCCGAATACATGTTTCATATCATTAGACTTCAGAAGAAAAATGTCAAAACTACAGAGATACACTCAACTGCCTAAAGTTTAAAAAGTCTGGCAATACTAAGTATTGGCAAGGCAGGGACCAACCAGAGCTTTCCTGAATCACTGATAAATGTGAAAGGATGGTCAGCTTATCATACAACCCATCTATTCCACCCTGAGGCATTTGCTCAAGAGCAATGAGATCCTAAAAGCACATGGGGACTTGTACATGAATGTTGATGGCATCTTTCTTTATAATAGTTGAGCGCTGAATACAACCCATGGGGCTCATAATAGGTGAATGGATAAAACAGGCTACAGGACAGTCACATGATCAATGAGTACACACTAACGACTTATTTCTTCAGACAATACAAATAAATCAAAAACACCACACCAAACAAAAGAATCAGGACATAAATGGAGTCTTTCATATGAAATTCTAGAAAAATTATAGTGACAAAGCAGCTCAGTTGATGTCTGAGACCCAGGGTCATCATCATAATGTACATGAATGCATTTTGTTGCATGTAAACTAGATCTCAGTGATTATTAAAAATAAAAAACATACTGTTTAGGCACATACAATTTTTCAAGACAAGATCATTAGATACACAAAATTTAGGGCAATGTCTAACCCTGGGTTGGGGAACTAGTCAAGAGGGAGTCATGAGATTTAAAAAAGAAGGGGGAGGTGGGAAGGAATACCATACAGGTGAATAATTACTGTTGATGACCTAGTTCTTATATTTTAAATAAATAAAATAACAAAGGCACTGCATGGGAGGAATGATAACTGTGTCACAATAAATCTAATTCTATGGACTCAAAGTACAGATTTTTTAAAAAAGGTAGTCACCTCACCCATATATTTCCCATGTCTCAGATGTAGGAAATATGCGAATAAATCCACCTCTCCGATCATTTTCTTCCTTTACCCTCCGTAAAACTTTAATCTATATGGAGGAAGAGAAAGTAAAACAAATACCTGTTTGTTTTTTGGTACCAGAATTTGAACCTAGGGGATCTGAGCTACATCCCAGCCCTTTTTAGTTTTTATTTTGAGACAGGGTCTCACTAAGTTGCTTTTAGGGCCTCACTAAGCTGCTGAGGCTGACCTCAAACTTGTGAACCTCCTGCCTCAGCCTCCAGAGTTGCTGGAATTACAGGTATGCACCATCACATCTGGCTATAAGTACCTATTTTGAAAACTCAAATCTACGTGGCTATTGGACAAAGGAAGAGTTATCATCCAAGAATATGATGAAAGCACGCAGGGAGATATTAACTGCATTTAAAATGTTTTCTGAGCAGCTTCTTCCATCTTGAATCTTTCTCTTTTCAATATAAGAGCTTGTTGTAAATATTATTACTTACTCACTAATTTTCAGTGAGCCCTGTGGTAATCTACAAAGGACTGAAATGGAGTGACTTTACCTCCTCCATTGACAGACCAAGCACAGAACCACATAACTTCCCCGGCAGCTTCTCCCGGGCGGAGCCCACAAGGTTTTTCATTTCTGCATCACTGGCAGAGAGTGGACGGGAGCGCTAAGGGGAAGAACATAAAAGCAAATTAAAAAAAAAAAGTTCTCATTCTCTGCCTCATTTCCCTCTATTTACTCAACATCATTATCTTTCCAAACATACATATATAAGCTCAAATCTATAGTCCAGTTTCTGTAACTAATCTCTTGGCCTGAAACCTTGGGAAACAGATAATAAAGTTAAACTAGTAAAGTTAAAAGCCAGAAGAGAATACAGAATAGTAGAAAAACACTATGAGTGAGAGAAAAAAGAGCCAGGTAAAAGAAATGGTGTCCATGAGCTTTGTAAGCCAGCACCTACTCCTAATCTTGGTTTTAAAATATATCCAATATGTCAAGATATGGGAAAAAAAACTTGAAAACAGTCTCACAGAAAAGAAAAGGAAATGTGTATTTATTCCAGTAAGGAATTATTATTATTATTATTTTTAGCACTGAGGAAGGAGAGAGCTAGGGGAATTGGGACATAAGACACAAAACCAAGGAACAAACCATTAAGCCAGGTTTTAGAACCTCAGGTGGGAATACTGAGATGAGATCGTCAGTGACGCAGAAGAGAGCTGCGAGGGAAAGCTTCAGCCAAGGAGACGTGTGGCTGCAGGACTTTAAGAGACTTCAATGAGGCTGTCACAAAGCCGTGTTCATCAAGGATCCCAACACACAATCTGAGCTATTTCAGCTTCTGAATGAGGATCAGGGAGACCCGCTGACTACAAAAGTCTTAAGTAACTGATATAATACAAGCAGAGACACAGAAAGGCAGCAAGGGAAGTCAGATGGCATGAAGCATGATAATAACTCTATTTTCGAAATAGATCAAGTGGCTGATAAAATAACACATATAAATCTGCCTAGTAGAAAAAGTAAGAATTCAAGGACTATGGAAGCAAACTGCCTACTGGATTCCCAAAAGAAACTTCAACTAGGGAGAAGCAGCCCCAATGTATACAACAATGACTGTGTCCATGAGTAGACTACTTATGGATGTCTGTGTCCCCAAAATTCACATGGTGAAGTCCCTTGGATGTCACTTGGAGATGGGGCCCTGGAAAGGTAACTAGGATTAGATAATGTCATGAGGGTGGGGCCTTGGGCTATTGGGATTAGTGCCAGAGAGCTTGCTCACGCCTACAAGCTTTCCCCCAGGTACACATAAGACAAGATCCCGTGAGCATACAGGATAGAACTACCTAAAAGTCAAAATAAAGTTGGAATAAAATATAAGTTTTGTTGGGACCTTGAATTTGTGCTTTCCATCACCCAGAACTGTGATAAATAAATTCCTGTTGCTTAACCACCCCAGTCTATTGTTAGGCCAGTCCCAACACACGGGTACACCCAGGTACACACAAAAACATAAATGGTTTGGACATAGGGAAAGAAAGATATACTGATTTTCAAAGCAGCAAGGGAGTTATAAAAACTAGATTTTTTGATAGAGACCTCCACAGAAGATACCTATATAAAGAAAAACCATGAAATCAACAGATGTCATCAACACGTGAAGACAGGGACTTTTAGCTGTCTAATTCATACTATGGTGGTTATCTCCACCATCTAGAGCAGTATTTAGCATGGAGTAGAGCGACAAATATTTGCTGAACAAATAAATGAATGAATGTGCTGACAAACAACTTAATCATATTTAGAATTAGAACTTGCAGAAAGTTTTAGGAAATACTTTAATCCCCTTCAGTCTCTAGGAATACATTAAACAGTATGTGAGAAGGTAAAAAGGGGAAAGTTTAATGATTTAGGAAGGAAACCAAGATAAGTAATATAATCATGTCTTCAAAAATCTTAAAGTATGATACTTACTTAGTGTATAATTTATAAAAGCCAAAATATTAAATGGAAAGGGTCAAGGACTTTTCTTGTGATCACAGCCTACTTACTGTTTGTCAAAAGATACTGATCTAGTTCACATGGGACAGGATGGCTCTGATCATAACACCACCTGAAACCACTGGCAGTGAACCCTCCAAAGTCAAGTAGCCTTACTCGATGCTATTTAAAGATCTTTTAAAATCATCTCAAATAATGTAAGAACAGAGTAGAGTACTCATTCAAATGATATAATAAAATAAAGATGAGAACAAAGGCAGAGAACTAAAAAAGGGGAGACGAAGGAAAAGGAGAGAAAAGAGATGGTTTGTGTCAAGGAGACACACTTGGAGACTAACAGTGAAGAAAACAAAGAAATCAGACTGCTATGAAAGGTTATCACAACTATCAGAAACAAAGACAAAAGAGTACAAATGTAAGCCATTCTGTGGTCTTGACCTTGGGCACATCAGATATAATAAATCACGTTTCAATGGGTTGACTTACTAATAGTAAGGCAATAAGCCCTCTCTGAACTTAAAAGAGACCTGTTGCCACTGGTTAGATGACACATGATTTAGACTACCAGGTGCCCAGATAAATTTTAAACTGCTAAATTACAGCCGAGGTAAGAATTCTGCCTTGCAACATGCATCAAAGATGTTAAATTATCCTGAGCAAAATGTATGATTCAGAAACCTACCAAAGAAGAAGTGTTTATGTATCTAACCATTATTGCTAAGGAAGAATTGACTGAGAATGTTAAACTTTTGAGACAAGGAACCCTGTGTCCCCACTCAAACCAGCAAGAAACAGATGTTGATTCAGAAAAAGTATTTTCTCAGCCTAAAGAAAGCTAGCAAATATTAGTAATAAGAACCTAATAAATATAGAATATTAAAAAAGGTGAGATCTTCTAAAAGATATCATAATCAAGGAGCAGAAAATAAAATCTGCTTGACAGAATACAAATGTAAAGAATAAAGAATTCCAATGCAGTTTCACCAAGTTTGGAATTCATCATTAAAACCAAAGGAACTAGAAATAGCTCAACTAATATGTAATACAACTTGCCATCTGGAACATGAAAAGGTAAACACAGTTTAAAAAGCAAAATGAAGGAGTGCTACAGTGAAAAAAAAATAAATGAAAAGGACCATTTAATAAATCTGGGTAGATATGGACCAAAAAATGGGTTTCTAAGAGAAGGTTTAAATGTAATGATAACCAGAAATGGTGAACTGTGAAATGGTGGAGGTAACTAAGTAAGTAAGTAAGCAGGCTTGTGTTATAATAAAAGAGATCGGCAATGTCTGGAACTTTGGGATAAATGGACGTCAGCAATCCTGAGAGACATGCATCTTGTTCTAATGGAAACTGGCTTTAAAAAAACAACAACAAAAAATCCCTCCCCAAACCACTTGCAATTATGTCTGAAAAATCATGAACATCTGAGGAGGTACCAGAGGATTAAGAAAAAAAAAAATGAGGTACCAATCTTCAAAAATGTAGAAGTATGCTCCTGGTGATTACCACCTGGCAAGTCTAGCAAGAACTCCTAGTAAAATAATGGAACAAATGTTAAAAGAAAAAAATCCATAGACATTTGGAATTTAATGGTCTCATGAATAGTAGTATGGAGACTGCTTTATTTATTTTAAAGCATGCTTTAAAAATTTAACTTTTAGGGTAAAATTACAAAAATGGAGACTATAGAAGATATATTTGATGTCTTTGGATTTTAGAGAAGTGTTTGAAAAAATTTCATGAAATGTTTATTCTAAATTATACTTCCACTCAGGGGTTAGTGCCATAATATAGTGAGTACAATACACTGACAAAAACTGAAATTCAGTTCAAAACCAATTCAAGAGAATATCAACCTCAGTAAATGATACTTAGCATTATTGAGAATCTCCAATAATGTCTGGAAGAAAAAATAAAGAAATTAATAGATAGCTAACATTTGTGGGTGATAGCAAATGTGTAAGAGATTATTAGAGATTGATGAACATCAGAATAACTCTAGATGTTAACAATGGAAAAAAGAAAATCAAAATAGGACTCAAAAGTATGAAGAGGCTATATTTTCTGAGTATGCACTGAGCGATCGGCACTATCCCAAATATTTGACATGTTTCATCCTTTCTTCCTCACCATACCTCCATGTGTGTACCATGCTCCCCACTGGGTGACGTGGGAACTGAGCCCCAGAGTAAAGGGAATGTGCCGAGTCTCTCAGCTAGCAGCGGCAGAGATCAAATCTGAACCCAGGCCTATCCGATTCTAAAGTCCATGCTCTTTGCACACTAGCAGGCAATGCGATTTCTGACAAGTGGAAAATCTGACATAGACATTTGAGGAAAAAGACACATGTCAATGGAGACAATAAAATAGAAAGGAAAAGGCAGGTGAGGGGCAACAGTACTAAGACTTCATGATGAAAATGTTCTTAGTTCTGATGGAACTACTATGGAGTTGAGAGCTTCACTAACAGAAAGACAGTGACAAAACAGAACACTGCCAAGAACGAGAGTCAAAGAATAACATGCTTAACGTTGACCAAATAAAGATTTTGTGTCATGTAAACAGTGTTCAAAGACGCAAGAGAAGCCTGGCTCTCCAGTAAGGCTACTGCAGCCTACTATGATTCAAGCAGTGTACCTAGATTTAATGGGATTAAAATAGATAAAGGAGAATTAAGATCAGAACTATATATCTGAGATGCTCTGACATCAAACTCAGAAGTCTCTGAAATAGTATTTTTAATATTCTCCTTAAGCAGATCAGTTCCAGGGGTATTTAGAACATAAGCTCTTTAAGTCAACAGCCTTTTGGGGGTAGGGAGGACATGGATAGCACCTAACACGTTTAGGACTTACTAAATATAAACACTACATATACTATAGTTTTGAACTCCACCATCTAAACCCATAACACATACTATACAATCAAACCAACCAGTTAGCAAAGAGAATACAAGGCATCTACTTTTTTTTCATTTCTTCATATAAATCACTTTATCAGAAATAATAAACTGCATTGGAAAGTATAAATGCCAAAATAAGTATACTGGAGTTTTTTGCTAACAGTGTTGCAGTAACACACTTAAGGACACCTATCAAAAGAGCATCAAATAATAGAAAGAGGATTTAAACTTCTAGACTATTGCTTTAAAAAGATAAAAGACAAAAAAAAGATCTGCTTAGAAGAAAGTGATGGCTAATCTGAAATACTACTTATAAGAACAGTAAGAGAGCAAATGCTGACCATTCAGAGAGAAAGATATTTGCCTTTTTTTAAAAGGTAGCATCTGAAACACTAATCATGGCAGGTTTCTAAGTTTCGACTGCAAATCACTACATGTATGAAATGTCATCTGTCAAGAAACTCAAATACAGCCCAACACCCAATGTGAAAACACTGTTAATATTAAGCTACTAACAACAGTATATTTCATTAAGACATCTGAGTCAAACAAGTTTCATTTGTGAACTGTAATAGTTCCTTTCTAGAATATTTTGGTTAAAGCAACAGATATACCTCTGCCCTGTTCCTCATTTAAATTCAACTGTCTCCATCACAGCAAAGTCACCATCAGGAAGAGGACCCACACGTTCCCATATCCTCTCCTCTTACCTTCTATAACCAACAGTAATTGTGTACAAATCTTTGTTTATTCTATCTCGTCTGACTCAATTGTGCAAAAAAGACAAGCACATAAATACATACCAAAAAAGGTTAAAGCTAAAAGATTTTCCATTTGAAAATGGGAATAAAATTTGAATGAAGTCTCCAAATGATCCAGAACTTACCTGCTTGGTGTATGATGATTGAAACTGTGCAGATACTGGGCACTATAAAAGACAGAAAAATGGAATAAAGCCTTATCTTCTCCTAACATGCCTACATTTTCCATCTTCTACATCTATGATATGAAAAAGGAAAAAAACAATCTCCAAGCACAGACCAAAGGCAAGAGCCCCACACTTTTGTGGATGAAAAATTAGAGAATTTGTATTTTTCACACTTTCTCCTATACCATTTGCATTCCATCTTCAACTTCTCACCACCAAGGGCACAATTCTGCCAAGTACTGAAGATCATCATCTCCTGACCATTGGTTTCAAACAGTACATGTACCTAGGCTATAGTTCCTTTAGCACCTGTCTGTAAATGCCCTATGGGCTGCTTATGGATGATATCATGCCATTACCTACCAGTTGGCAAAAAAAACATTAAGTAGATTGCCTACCATTTGCAAAGAACTGCCAATAAAAAAATGACAGGCAAGCCAAGAGAAGAGTTCACTCATCCCAGCTTGTTATACAGTTACCCATAGAAGTGCAACTTGGGAAACTGTGTTAAAACTGGACAGAAACATTCACAATTCTTTCTATATCAATTTGGAGGCTCCTGCCAAAGATGCCATAGGAAATAACCTGCAAAGGAATGTGATTGCCCAAATTAAGCTTTCCCAATACACCTAGGTTAATCCTGTACTTTTTCTTATTAAAATTTTTTTAAAAACCCTTTGATCTGTGATGATGCATTCATCAAGTACAACTCTGCTGCCTTTATTTGTAATCCAAGATAATACCTCTTAAAATACAGTACACCCTGTTCCACATCACATTAATACTTAGGAAGTCTATTCCAGAGCAGGGGTCACAGTTGGACAGACTGCATCCGGCTCAAAGAAATGTTATGTTTGGCCTGCATAACTGTTTTGTTTTGTTTTGTTTTAATGAACTAATTGCTGATATTTAAAAGCAAGATTTCTGATTGCTCTTGACAACAGGAAGATCTCAGCCCCTTTGGCCCACACTGACGTGTGGCAGTGATCAGTTAGAGCACATTAGTTAAACAGGCGCCCCTTTTCCGTGAGGCCCATGCTCTCCTACTCTATCACATCACTCTAGCTGCGTTACACCTGCCGCAGGTACTCACTGACATCATCTGCCTGTAGGCCTGGAGGTTGAGTTTGAAAACCCCGTTCTAGTGAAAAGTTCTCTAAATAAATGATAGTATATGAGCTTGGCAAACAGAACCAGCACCACTCTAAATAAGACCAGCAAGCAAAGGGAAGAGGAGCAGGAAGAGCAACGGAAGGAAAGGGAGGGAAAAGGAAAGGAGTGAAGGGCTGAAGTAAGGGTGTGAAAGGGATCAAAAGGACGGGAAAGGGGAGAAGAGGGAGGGAGGGGAGCAGGAAAGAACCTACATCTAGTGAAGGAGACTGGACAATTTAAAAGCAATGAATCGGTGAATGCAAAACCACGCAATGCAGAACAAGTAAGTAAGGCTGCCATGAGAAGTGACGGTCACTGAAGAGTGGGATGACTTAGTAAGAAAGTATCTCCAAAACTTCGGGAATGCGAGGTGATCAAACCCGATGCACAGAGCGGGGGAAGAGGGAGCTTTTACACGAGAAGAAAAATTAAAAGCAAAGAAATCAGCAGTGTAGAGACAGACAGGGACTGATGAGAGGACGGAAGGAGCAGACGGAGGTTAGCTGATGGGTTTAAGTGGGACAAAAACGCAGAGTACACAAAGACCAGAGCAATGTGTGATCAAATGATGTTTCTGACTAGCCCAAGTTTCTTTGGGCATTTATTTCATTTAGCCTCAATCAATAACTCACAATCATTCAAGGTCCTTTGAAGAGAATTTCAGGTAGAGAAGATGCTATTTCAAGGGAGATGCTATTTCAAGGGAGCATCTTTGAAATTAGTCTGAAGATCAGAAAGAATGCAGTAATGACTAAGAATTCATAGGCTCCCTCTCTGTGCTTTGTTTATGAGTATGCCCATTTGGGAAGGGGGAGGTAACTTTTGAAAAGAGACATAAAGACAAAAGGAAAGGCATGAGAAAAAGAAACCAAGAGAAAAGACAAAACAAAGGCAGGGAGTAAATTTGTTGGAAAGCATAAGCTTTTAGCCACAGCTGAACATAACTGCCCCCTGTCTAGACTGATCCCCAATTCTCCTCCTCTAAGCCACCTCACCTCCATGGCACTTGGACTCCCTCATTTACATCTGCTGCCACTTCCTTGTAAGCCTCCCCTGGACTCCCTGCTGCTGAATTTCCTTACCTGAGGTTTCTGGAAAGGGTTTCTCCTGGAAGACTCAAAGGTGGGATAAATTGGCCGAGTAGTTGCCCGCTGGGCAGGATCTTGGCACACAAATCCTAAATGGGGAGTGGGCCACATTAAAACCTGCCATTTTCTAAGATATTAGCAGATTTGGCTGCAACTGTAGATGCACAAACTCAATTACACAGTCATAAATATCACAGAGATCCATCATCAAGATGATTATGTTAGTTGGGTAGCTGAAAAGTGACTCTAATTTGAGAAAGAGATGTAGATTTTTGATGAATCCTGAGTAAATGTGTATATGGCCATTTTAAAACACATAGTTATTAATAAAAACAAGTTATTTCAAAGTGGTTTCCAGAAGTCTGACTAGAGAATGATGTTGTTTTTACTGGGAATCCAAAAGCAAGAGAGCAGTGTTGTCCTGCTACATGATCTACTTCTGGAAATGCCGAAGGTGGCCCATTGGCTACTCCCCAAACGGGCTTTGTACATTTTCTATCATTTAAGAAATTGGACGTCAACTAATTTCACTGACTTCCTAAAAAGAAGTGAATTCCCATCCAAGAAGAATAGAGTAGCTAAGTTTTATAGCACTTACTGGTACATCAAGTACTAGTTCATCTCAAATACACATTATTATGTCTTTTTAGAAAATTTCAAAAAACAATAATAAATCCACATCATATCCACCTGACTGCCCATCTCCATTTCAAAGTTTTGGCTTATCTACTTAAAATGAGATTTCTTCTTTGGGCCACTTTGGTTATAAATACTACACCAGGGATCATATTGAGACCAGTAGAGACTGTCTAGCAGAAACACAGCCAGTCTCCTTTGTAACGAGGCTTCGTCCGTGGGTTTCACTTTCCCAGCTCAGAGAAAAATACACTTTCTGCAGATCTTTGCTTAATTCTCTGCCTCAGCTCATAATTCCTATGCCTCAGGTCTCAGCCTTAGTTGTGGTTCAGCCTCAGGACAGGATGGAGCCAGGGGGAGTAGAAACATATAAACACTTCCCTGAAAATATAATTTTTTGGTACAAAACATTCAGCATGGCTTAGGAACTGCCAGTTGGCAATACCTATGGAGCCTGACAAAATGGATGCTCTAGTTAGTTTTTATATGAGACTGTTTTGAAAACACCACTACTCACCTACAACAGTGAACATATCTGAAATCATGCTGGCTTTAATTTTTAGGTCCAGAGGTGCATCACTAAGAAAATAGAGAAAGAAAAGAACAATTGATAAATTTTATGGTTAACAGAATAGCTGCCTTCTAATGGGTCCCCATATAGGAGAGTTTCCAAATGTTGATGAGAAGCAACATATAAAACACATCAAATCCATGGAAAAAGACAAGAACATCTGGGCAGAAGTACTAGAAATAAAAGCCTGGTGTTAAACTCGCCCTCTGTGAGGCAGGCCCAGCACCAACACATTGATTCCCTAACATGTAATCTTTTTATTCCAGAAGGTCTTATGCAATTCAAATTTTGCACAAGTCAAGAATATTGCTTCATTATCACCGTAGATTTTAAAGGCTTAGACTTTTAGTATGCTCTTTTACAAGTATGCCCATCATCCAAATTTTGTTTTACTGCTGCAATAGTTGAATCACATTCACATACAAGACAAGAAACTTTGGCCACCTTCATACTTTTCTGTTAAGTCTTTATTTTCTGTTTTAAATCAATTTTCTTAGGCTTGCAAATAATGCAGAAAGACACAACAAAACATACCAAAGTCCCACCAAACGATGCAGCAGGAACCCACACAGAAACACAAACAACATGAACAGGAAGCAAAAGGCTGGCTTTGGTGTCCCTCCATGCTGTACCCGATGCAACACCCGGGGACATCTATCAGTGTCTAAGGTGCTTTACTGGGTAATCTGCAGAAGGCTGACTCGGCCAAAGTACAGCATAACATCGGCAGCATCTGTAACATCCAGTTCTACACCTTACTACCGAGGTGAAGCCAGATCTCGCTCCACTGGCACTCTGCCATTCCTTCTCATCCTTAAAATTCAACAGCCGGGTGGTCTTTGGCATAAATCTCTAGGGTTTTCTATTTAGATAAGTGTATAGCTAATAGAAATTCTGGCTGCAGAGGTAAGAAGAATCTTCTCAGTACTGAAAAATATGTGTCTTTCCTTCTTCTAAACAAGAATTGGTTTTTAAAAAAAGATTTTTTGAAGTTCTTAGACTATAATTTTGGATGAATACCAGGATGTGGAGGAGGCAAAAGAACCAGGTACAACCTACATAAGCAGAGGTCCAGCTTTACAGTATATGTGGATTTGAGTCGGCATAAACCTTTGAAATAAAGAGAATATAATACCATATGTATTTCTTTATTCTTAACAAAAGACCTACCAAGTTTTAAAAAAAAAAAAACCTTCAGGATAAAAACAAATGCAGAAATCACATTCCAGAAGTCCAATAAACAGTAAGCATATACTGCAACTGACTAGGAAAACAGGGATCCCTGGTTGCCAAAAAATCATTTAAAAATTTGAGCCTTCTCTATCTAATAACAGAGGGAAAGTCTTCTAGTGCTAAATGAAATGACCCTCCTGACCCTCGTTAAAAATTGTTTTAGGGTCACTTGTACGTTTGTCCTTTTCAAGTTGATGGAAATGACTTACCAGGCCAAAGAAGGAGACAGATTCACTTCCAACAACCATGGCTTCAGAGTAGAATCTATGAGCACATCAAAGCCATATAGTTCTAGAAATACAACACAACACACAAGATCATTTAACACATCACAACTGCACAAAGATCTGAAAGGGTTGATCCATCAACTACCCCAGAATTCTAGAAACAGTATAAACAGTAAGTGGAAACAAAAGAAGAGAATCCTTCAAGTTCAAGACATTAATCAAGTTCTAAAGCTAATTTTAAAATATTATACAATTCCTGCTTATATCATCCACTCTATTTGTGTTCCTGAGTTCTCCATAGAGAGCAACCTGACTCCACAAGAGTTTACAAGCATGATGCTACTATGCTCATGGATAAAAAACTATTGAGAAAAGGAATGAAGCAAGTGCATCCAGTAACGACACTACTGGGGACTACTCCAAACCTCCCTGCCATACTCTGAAAACAGAAAAATATACTCAAGACACCACTCTAGGGTCCTTCCATCACATTTTCTTAGACATAAGATCTTGCTTTTGTAACCCAGGTCAAGAAGACATTTAAATGTAAAATATATTTATTATTTCCTCTCTCCTATGGTTTCAATCTCCATTTGAACACAGAAGGTAAAATAATTGGCCTGTAGACAGAAATTCAGAAGAGAAAAGATGAAGCCAGGAGTGGCAAAGCAGGATTGTGACAAACCATTTCATACCATCAATATTTAAGAAGGGGGGGACAGCCAAAGACCAAATTTCCATGGCTTCTGGATTATTTACTGATTTTCTTCTTCAGTGCCCCACCCCAACTATGGCAAGAAATAAAATAAGACTCTTAGATTGCCTGATTTCATTTAACAAACTCAGGAATGAAAGGTTAACTTTGGAGCCCTTCATATTATTACTAGTGAGATGCTCTCACTAATGAGATGAAATCACAGTGGTGTACCATCTTGATGTACACATACCAAACATGAGTCTCATAAGTGCTACAGACTTCCCAAACTTCCCACCCTGGGTCACTCAAAAGAAATTACACCTTTTCTCCAAGGAAAAAGACTAAATTCCTTACTGTGATCAGAGGTCATACCCACAGAACAACAGAAATTTTTCAGAAACTCATTCTGAAACAAATTTCATTTTATCAAGAAGGGATTTTGGAGGAGCTGGGGATATATCTCAGTTGGTAGAGTGCTTGCCTTGCATGCACAAGGCCATGGGTTCAATCCCCAGCACCAAAAAAAAAGAAGGTTTTGGTTTTGTTTTTGTTTCTTTTTAAGCCAGGCACAGTGGCGCACGCCTGCAATACCAGTGGCTGGGGAGGCTGAGGCAGGAGGATCATGAGTTCAAAGCCAGCCTCAGGAAAAGCGAGGTGCTAATAAGCAACTCAGTGAGACCCTATCTCTAAATAAAATACAAAATAAGGCTGAGGATGTGGCTCCGTGGTCGAGTGCTCCTGGGTCCAATCCCCAGTACCCTATTCCCCCAAAAAACAAGGGTTTTTGTTTTTTTTATTTCTTAATTCTCTAAGAAAGAAAGAAAAAGAAAAAAATAAAAAAACATAGACTTCTAAAATGATGGCCTCAAAGATTTCAGAACACAGGAAGTCTGAAGTTTTATGATGCAGTGCCGAGAATCCTAGAATGGGAACCTGGAGACCTAGAGGTCCACCTGACTGTGCATTGTAGAACCTGGGGAGTCACTTCTCTCTCTGACACTTCGTTAGCAACCTCTGGTTTCCTCTGCCTTCCGGATTAATCACTATTAATACCTGTATGCTCAGTGAATCTCCATCTGGTTTGTGCTGTGTGAAAACAAGAAGATATTTGTATTCTAAACCCTCTAGGGTAAAGTCTCCATGAAGGCATTGGCTTCCATAGCAATTACACAGGATTCCATTTAATTTGCAAACTAATAAAAAATTATATGAGTGTTTGAGATGAGATTCACCTTCAGGTAACTATATAAAATGTACATATCATCTACATTTTAAAATGTAAATAAAAGGAAACTCCTTTACCTCTCTATTTTGGTAGCAAATTCATACCTTTTATATCTACTAGAATCTTCTGAATATCTTGCCCAAACCTCAATAATGCCACAGGATATTCCCCCTTTATCCTGAGAAAAACCTTTTGCAATAAAGCACCGAAGAAGGCATTTAAAAGGAAAAACTTGACTGTATGTACAATCTAGAAGTCCTTGTTGACATTATATGAACAGGAGAGCACATTGTCTGATTCAAGAAAATAAGAGTCTCTTCAGTTTTAAAAGCTGAATTTAGTTCAGGATTAAACTGTTTCATAAAGCAGCAGTAGTAATCATATTAGGAAGAACATAGTGAAAATAATGATCGATGCATATATTAATCAGGTTTGTAGAATCAGTCACAAATTAAGATACAGTTAGATTAACAATCCAGGGGAGCACTTAGCAACCACCACATTTACTTAACCATTTCCCAAAATCACAGGCAAATTACAGGAACCTCAGCGGAGACGCTGAGAACAAATATTTTGGGAAGTGAAAGAAAAAAAAAATATGGCCTAAAGAGAAAGAACTCCCTTCACAGTGCTAAATTAATTTTCACTCCGGTGAATAAAACCTGTTGGTGCTAAACATTGTGTATGGGGAGTGTGCCAAACTAAAATATCTAACTACGCCTGTATCAGTCACGGAAGAGTGAGGAAGAAGCACAGGTGGCCATGTGGCACCACTGAGACACAGTGCAAAGCTCAGCTCACCTAAAAGGCTGGAGCCAGGGAAGAGGGAAGGGGCAGAAGACAGCTGCGTATCAGATTTCTCTCTTGAATAAACAACTCAGCTTAAAACATGAGCCTGGGTTCTTTTAACTAGGGTTGGACTTTTCTATGGATATTAAAGATTTTAAAAGGCAAAGAGAAGGTGGTGCTGAGAACATCAAGCTTCCTCACCTTTTCATTTTTGTGTGTTTAAACAGCCGGGTCTAGAATTTTAAAAATTCAGTATCCAGGATGAGATTTCCAAGTGTCCCTGTCATCGGGTGCAGACAAGCCAGGCTTTTCCTGTGCTAATAGTTCCTCTCTTTGTTCCTCTGTTCAGATCAACGATTTTCAAAGACTGTTGCTACAACCTTATTCAATTATTTCCCCAGGACAATTTTCCTTGGTAAGAAAAATTTCCTTCAGCCCCTAGCCAAACCAAAGCAACCTGAAAATGAGACTGGTCAGTGTAAGAGGCTGCTTCTCTGCACCTCTGCTTTACATCTGTACCCCTTTCTCCCCATTGCTTTAAACACGGCTTCTTAAAATAGCAACCTGCACTTAGCTGTCTGAACTCTCACAATGCCTATTCCCTCCCCACCCCATAAAAATTTGCTTATGCTTCCACTGTCTACTAATTGACTATGATCACCAAAAAGCCCAAGCATCTGGAAGTGTCGACCACCTCCTACTAATAGGAACTTTCTTCTCCCTTGGGTTCCAGGACACTGCTCTCTTTTGATTCTCCTCTTATTCCTTCTCTCTGGCATCCTCAGATCTCTTTCCTGCTCAGTTCTATTCTCTTCTTGGGTAAGCTCATGTATTCTCACGGCTACAATTAATGATATGATAACATTTAACTATCTTTAGTCATCTCCTGGATGCCAAATCCATAATTCCAACATCCATATAGACACTGTCACTAGAATATCCCACAGGAACTCCACACTCAGCAAATCAGCACTGGTATCTTTGCCCAAAATTGTTTAGTTTCCTATCTTGCAAAAAGGTGACCCCATTCACCAGGCCCCAAAGCTAGAAACACTCTCCCTGCCACCTCCCAAATCCAACATGTTGCCACATTTCTCTTTATCATCCTTCCTCTTAAATCCATCAGATCTTCTCTATCCCTTCTAAGGTACAACTTACAATGATGAAGTGCACAGAGCTTAAGGGGTAGTTTAGTGAGTCTTGGTAACTGGATACATCCATGTAACCCACAGTCCCATCAACCCACACAGAACATTTCCCTCACCTCAGAAAGAGTCCCCATGCCCTTTCCTGGTATATACCTTGCCTATCACCCCTACAACTACAATTCTTATTTTTTTCACCACAGATTTGTTTTGCCTGTTCTAGAGTTTCCTATAAATGGAATCACATGGAATATACTCTTCTGAGTCTGACTTCTTTAATTTAGCACGTTTTTGAGGTTCATTTACATTGTTGTTTGTCTTAACGGGTTTATTGAAGTATGATTTATATATAATAAAATTCACCCCTTTAAAGTGAAGAGCTTGATGAGTTTTGATAAATGTATACAGTGTTTAAACACTACCTCAGTCAAGACATATAGCAATTTTATCCCAAAGTTCCCTCGGGCCACTCTGCAGTCAATCCCCACCTCTCTCGTCCTCCAACAACCACTGATCTGATTTTTGTCTACTTTTGGCCTTTTCCAGAATGCCAAATAAATGGAATCAAAATAGTATTACAGCCTTTTGAGATTGGCTTATTTCACTGAGCATTGTGCTTTTCGATTTATTTACACATGTCAATAGTATAATTCATTACTTTTCACTGCTGAGTAGTATTCTATAATATGGACATACCACATTAAATCCATCAAATAGCATTTGATAGTTATTTGGGTTATTTCCAATTATAGGCCATTATGAATAACGCTGCTATAAATGTTTGTGCAGAGATATTTATGAGAGCATACATTCTGTTTCTTCTCTCCTGGGTAATCCTGGGTAGGAACACCTGGTCACCCAGTGAGAGTTCACTACACAGTTACTGCACCTCTCACCTCCTAAGGCCTTTCCCTAGCACTAGTCTCTCCCCAGCTACAGTTTACTCTTCAAGGCCACCAGAATTACCTTTCTAAAAAACCATATCTGTCTGGGTATGGTGGCACATGCCTATAATCCCAGTGGCTTTGGAGGCTAAGGCAGGAGGATCACAAGTTCAAAGCCAGCCTCAGCAACTTAGCACAGCCCTAACAACTTAGCAAAACCCTGTTTCAAAAAATAAAAAGGGTTGGCTACTAGCTCAGTGGCTAAGTGCCCCTGGGTCCAATCCCAAGTACCAAAAAAAAAAAAAAAAAAAAAAAAAAAAAATC